GCAAATTAGATAAATGTTTCATGATCAGATGTCAAATAACATATAGTAAGACATGTTGATTACCCAAAAAGAATGGGATGGTAGAAATTAATATTGCCGCCATCACTTCACAAGCCTTACTAGTTATATAAGATTACTTATATTACATAAAGGAAAATTTCAAATGCATTCCTGAGTGAATACAGTGCCCACCTTTGCTCTTCATAAGGCCAGCATGACTCCCGCTGTCATCCAAATCAGCCATTACTTCATCTTTGCCAAAACTTAATTTTTCATGTCTTTTCTTTTTCTCGTGTGAATCAAAAATCTTTGGAATTGGAAGCAAGGCATCTTCTGCATTTGCACGATCTAATGCAATAACTGTTGGATCATTACACAAAAGTCAGCTAACCATTAACAATCAGGAATCAGGAAGAAGAAAAAGTAAGTAGCATTAAACTAGGACCAGAAAATGTAACAACTTTCAGGCGAGGATTATCAGCAAAATAAATAAACAAACAAACAATAACGTTAATGAAAAAAAAAGTTCCAGAAGTGCATCATCTGAGCAAAGAAAAAAAAATTATGATTTTGATATCTTCCAGCAGAGGGGGGAAACTTGTTGTGAGAATGTCTTACCTCTATTTTGTACATTTTGTCCTTTCTTAGATTTGACAAGAGACTGACTCATTGGTAGAAGAACCCCATCATGGGAGCTACTCAACTTTATGTCTGTGCCAGAATGCACCAAAATTTTCTGGAATAATGGCTTCACTGGTAATCCATAAGCCACAAATATCTGCCCAGAAGCAGCTTGTACAATTCCTTGCAAAACCGCAGCAAATATTGTAGTTACTGCACCCTTCTGAGTTTTGGTCAAAATGTCTTCAGATGATACTGAAATTCTTGTAGGCTTGGCATTCCGCAATTCTTCAATACTCTTTCCAAACCAAAAATAACAAACACCGACTTCTGAAATCGCTAATACATATAGACCTATATCACTAACTTCACCGCTGTCTATGCACCTGCTGTCTACAAAGACAGCAGGGTGCTCCATTGCAAGAACAGCACTTGCCGACTGCCTTTTTCCACCACCTATATTCCATACTGCAATATACCTTTCACCAACTGCAGATGAGAGGATGTACTTCCCATCTTCGCTGAAGATCATACAGCGAACAGCTCCCTAACGAATGATGAGTAAATATTATTAAATTAAGAAAGAATGGTTATAGAAAATGCTAAATATAAAAATCAAAGTTTAACCCTTCTGATAGCTGGAACTTTTGGGAGGTAAACAAAAAAATTTATCCAGGTATCAAAGTAGGCAATCCTAAGTCAAATCCCTGCAAATGCAATCTCTAATAATGTTGAATTTCACATATTGAACTCTCTAGTGGTGGAAAGAGACCCAGATGTGAGGAGGGAGTGTTAAAAGTTAAATTTAGAAATAAATAATAAAATTTGCCCCACAAGTCAAATCCTAACAGCTTAAACGTTTAGGAACAGCGGTAAACCAACAAAAGTTATTAGAAGATAAGCCGACTTTAACATGTACTCATGTTTAGGCACCCAAAGAAGAAAAAGGGTAAAAGAAAAAGGAATAAAAATAAAACTCACCGGATGGCCAGAAAACTTCTGTATCTTCTTGTGATCAGACAAATTGAAAATCTTCATTTGTGCAGCCGCAGTTGCTAATATCTTCCCATCTAGTGCAGAGAAAAGACCATCCACAAGTTACTATCAGAAAGACAGTGAATGCTACAATATAACAAAGAATGCAGTTATATTTGGACTCACAGAAAGCAGATCCATGACAAATACTGCAAAATAAACTTCACTTTTTTTAGCATTAACTATTATTTTTAACCATAATCTGCTTCCACATATAGGGATTGCATGTGTCAGAATTTATAGAGATCTGATTGAACCTATTCACCAAGACCCTCCAACCTATCTATACATATTGAACGGCCAACCCTACACTTCTTCCACAGGAGCCACAACTACAAATTGTGAAACAACCAATTTCACCAACAACATTCCTTTTTCTTCCTAGGACTTATGAAAAATCTATCGGCCAGCATTAGTTACCATTCATCACCACAAATTATCATTTTTCAACTTATTTATCAAAACACATAAATGCATAGCTCATATATCCAGATTGTATAATCCTTAAGTAATTTAACTATGTAGTTTCAAGCACAAACATTAAGCAGAATAATGTTATACTCTAAGAAAGAGTAGCACAAAAGATGTAATGTAATGGACATATGCATATGGAGCATACCGAACGAAACAGACATAGAAGAGATTGCCTTTGTGGAAGCTTTGAACTTCCCCAACAGGTTTCCTGTCAAAGCATCAATTTCACAAATCATCCCATCAGCACCGGCGGTGTAAATACACGAAGCATTTCTTGGAAATGATATGGAGCTAACGCCACTGCAATGACAGAAAGTGCAACAGATAGATTGCTTGGGTCAGCCCAAAAAGTCGAAAACATACATTTGCATAAGCATTATATTCATTCCAAGCCAACCATTAGGTGACTTAGAGTATTCACCAATTGCACATGATTAAAACTTGAAATAGGATGAAAACTAAGAAAGTTTAAGCAGGTGAGCTAACCCAGCATGGCAGTCGTTCAGTCTCCATTTCAATTGACCAGCAGACACATCAAGTGCCAAAATATCACCACCGCCAGTTCCCAAAACCAACAATGAACAACCAAGCTTCCTTTTCTTCTGCCAAAATGAACATTGCACAGAAAAAATATATAAATAAATAAAGGGCAACACTTACTTGTTAAACTAAAAACAAACCAAAGTTACAACCTTTCTTTCGGAAGAGAACCACTTCATGCATGTGTAATCAACTGAGAGGTGCCCTCTTTCTCGTTTTGCATATATGCTTGTATCTTCTGATGATACAATGTCTGTGAACTCTGTCTGGACTTGACCTTTCACAGTGTCCCAAATCTAATGCAAACCCAGAAATGAAAAATTATTGTTTTACTAGGAAATATAGAAACCAAGCAACCAAATTTCATATAATTACAAGTACCTTAATTCGACCATCTCCAGAGCTGATGGCGAACAAGTCCAAAGACGGACTAAAAGCCGTCAAGAGGTCTCTGATATTTGACGAGCTCATGCTGAAAGTTAGGTTTTGCTAGGAGAGAATAACTGAGCTGGGTACAAGTGCAGTGCTTAAACCCTAAACCCTAGAACACGGAGAGGAGAAGACGGGCAGCTGAAGAGTGAACGCGGCAACGGCTCTGCTTTGCGTTTAGGGCGTTCGTTATTTCTGCTCTTGGTTGTTTATGTGGGCTCTATTCAAATGATGGGCTTTATTTGTCATTTTGGTCAATTTGGGCCCAATGCTGTCAACTCTTTTTCTTTTCTTTTTTTGAGAAGATGTTATGTTAGCACGATTTATTCTTTAAAGAGTAATGCTATTTGGACACACAACATTGACACATTTAGTGACACCCGCTGGTGTGTCCATGTATTATTTGCTTTTCTTTTCTCCTCGTTTTCTGTTCAGCGAATGATACATTGACACATCAGCGGGTGTCAACTAAGTGTGTCAATGTTGTGTGTCCAAATAGCATTACTCTTCTTTAAAATATTTATCATGGAATGGGGAATTTATTACATAAGATGTGAGGGACTGACCTTAGCAAATTAACCTGTTATTTATATGATATTTTATCTAAAGAATTTTGTATAAATGGGAGGATAGTTTTCTTTTTTCGATGAATGGGGAAGGAGATTCGAATATTGGACATCTTCCAACATTAAAAGGAAAAATATCATTAAATGAAAAGCTAACTAGTAGAAGATAATGGTTTTTTTAACTTTTAAGCCCCATTATGTTTACGACAAGCAAAATAACAGCCTCATTGAGTTTGGCATCCCCTAACTAGTATATTTCTATAGTGAGGGAGTGGCCCTTAGATGAGACCATATCTCTTAATTGTTGGATCAAATTGGTTAGTTGTTGGGTTAAATTGGTTAGTTTGATTAAACGATTAAGAGATTAGGCCTCATCTTGGGCCTTACTAAGGCCCTCACTATAGAATGACTCCCTCCAAACTACAAGAATTCTATAATTAGGGCATTATATATGGCTTTTAGGTGAGTCTAACTCTTAATCATTGATCCAGACTATCTCTTAAGGATCATATATAAGGCCCTCGCTATAGAATGACTTCCCTTACTAATTGAAACTCCCCAAGAGAAGGCCTTGGACCAAATCATTTTCTGTTTTGTGAAAACGGGGCCAAAAGGCCCAACCAAATCATATTTTGCTAAAACATGTTTTACTCTTTTTAAACTGGTTTTTTTGGTAACTTAGTCCTGACTTTTGTCACTTGAGGCAGACAATCATAAGTGAACTTATTTTCTAAGATTGGAAAAGTGTATTGACAACTTTTGTGGCTAGTTCATGAGCTTTAAGTCAAGCATCGTAGAATGAGTGGAGTGAGATGAGAGATTTTTTTCTTTCTTTGGATACAAGTAATAGTCTAAATTATGGGGGAAATTCAAACTTGGGTGTAAGGAAGCGTGCTCACTGTCCTGACCAACTAGCATAAATAACCCTTCCGATTTAGTAAACATGTTTTTATCATAAAATAAAGAAAGATTTTACTTTCTTTCTTCTTTTTTTGGGTCAGAATTTTACTTTCATGTATCTACTTTCACACATTATTTTATCATCCGTTATTGTATTTTTTCTTGGAGAAGTGTCAACCGTTATACAAACGTTTACCCTCATTTTTGGGCTTATCTTTTTTCTTCTAATACAGACACCGTGTGACCTAGAGTATGGCAAAACATTTTGAGGGAAGATAAAACTTAGGGAGCCTCTGTCTTCACTTCAGCGACAAGACCCTTTATTTATTCTTACCCCACGGTGGTTCCGCTTTTCTTTTCATTTACCAATTACCATGTCATGGCTCACCAGACATGTCACTCAACAGCAAACAACAGAATTGGGAAATAAATAAATAAATAAAAGTATTAAAATTTAAATAGCAATGCTAACAATAACCCAAGTCCTTACATATCACTACCAAAAATTTGCTTACACATGAATGAAGAAATGAAGCTGTACAAATAATCCGCAGAATGGAGGAACATGCAAGACTGCAAATCTACAGGATGAAGAAAACAAATAATCTGAACATGTGTCTTATTGGAAAGAATGTGGTCTAACTTTAAATGGAAATGGTAGAAAATTTTTGTGGCTCTTTCCCTCATTGTTGTTGATTGTGGCTGAAAAGTATAACTGGAGTATGGAGGAAGAATGGTATCATAAGACTGCGGTTTTTCCATTCACAGTAAGTAGCGAAAAGCAGGAAGAGGAATAAGAGCTATTCAACTCAGAACAGGGTTGAGGGAAGACAGAATCTGAAGAGCCAGAAACATTTGAACATACCCAAGTGGGAGAACCAGAATTGGCTGACAAGGAGATATTGGATAGACAAAAGGAAGTGAAGGGGGCTTCTTGGATCCCTGTGAAGCTTCCAGCAATAGTGATGTTTGTGCCAATCACATCTTGCAAGGTGATGTGATCCAAATCCGGGAGAGCATTCGGATCAAACTTGTCGTCGGGATGGGAACCAAACTGACCAGAGGCACCAAATGCCATGTGGATGTTTTCCATTTCAACATCTGATATGATGATCTCTCTGATGTAGCCCCCTCTACCTTTTGTTGTTCTGAACTGAATGCCACTAAATGAGTTGTATAGGTGGACCTGCTCCACAAGTACCTTTGAAATGCCACCAGACATCTCACTACCAAAGGCAAGAGAAGAACCAGAAGACGATTGTAGGTAGACACGCCTGATGTGTACGTATGTGGTGGATCTTCCATAGGCAATGCCATACTCATCCCAACCACTCTTAAGGGCAATGGCATCATACCCCATGTCAATGCTGCAATCTTCTATACACACATTATCAGAAGAATCTGAAAGTACACAGAATTAGTATAGCATATTCCGAATAGTATTCTTCTTGTGTAATTATTTCAAACACCAATGGAATAACTCAGGATGCACATAATAATAAATTTGTAATTAACAGGATTAATCAAGGAAATACTTCAAGAGGTTCAAAGTTTAGCCAACATTTCTGATTCCATTAAGTGTTACCGTAACAGAACACATTTATATATACTAGGTACGGTGACAAGAAAACTTAATTGGAATGTGAAAACCCTAAACAATACTTCAACAAAAATTCAAAGCAGGGAGTTGAGAGCTGTCACAAACCTGGGACTATACCAACGGTATAAGGCGACTCTGGAGGAGCAGAGACTGAGATGTTATGAACATGTACATTGCTGCATTGCATTCATTTATAGATATTACATAAATATCTCCTTTAATCAAAAAAATGGTTTAAAATTAAAGAACATGGACAATCATCAAGGGCCTTAGCTAACAAACCTGCAATAGACTGGATGGATGTTATAAGCAGGAGCATTCACGAATGTGAGGTTTGAAACCACCACATATTTAGACGAAACAAATTCCACAAGATGAGGGCGGCTGTAGTTCAAAGTTTGAGAGCTAAACCAATCCCACCAAACTGAGCCCTGGCCATTGATGGTTCCATTATCACCTGGTGCAGTTAAAAATTGCAGGAACATCCAAGAGAGAAAGAAAATGAGGCTACTGTCAGAGAACATGTTAAAAGCAGCAAGGGTATTCAAAGATTCTGCATACCTGTTATGACCACATCATGTAACATATATCCATTTATCAAGCTACGATATCTTCCTCCCGGAAGTTCAATCCCTCGACCATATGAGGGTAGGGGCTCAACAACTTCCCAATGAGATGGATCCTAAACAAGCAACCGTAGAAACATTTTAATGAAAGAAAAAAAAAAACAAAAAGAAAACATCTCCAACTGATTTTGTAGCATCAAAAGTACTTAATGGCCTCGCTATGCGAGTAAAGCAGTACCTGAGATCCGAGAATGACAGCGCCTTTTTCCAAAAAGAGTGTAAGATGACTGGTGAGGTTGAAACTTCCAGTAAGCCACCTTCCCGGTGGCACATAAAGCTGCGCACCGCCCTTATCGGCAAAAGACTTGAGATAGAAGATGGCATTCTGGAAGGCAAGAGTGTTCAATGTTCTCCCATCTCCAACAGCACCAAACTCCAAGATGGACACACTATGTGGTCTTGGTTCTAATGTCAGATTGTAATCACACGGTTTCTCATCCTCTTCTCCACCAAGGTCGATAGCATTACTCAAAGTCAGCAGCAAGAGCAATACCCCCTGAAAATGGTGAAGAATTAACAAGCAATCCACTAATTCCCAGAAGGACTTTGGACAAATACAACATCATTGCCCAAACTCATCCACAAATTAAAAAGAGGACAAGTGCAAATAGCTAGAGAGCTGCAAATTCTGAATAGAATTAGACCAACTGACTCAGCCAACATCAGCAGATTTCAAGAACTTCGACATATCAAGAGATGATCAATGTATGCTATATGAGTGAACTAAAATTAAACTGAAAACACAAATCCAATTAAAAAAGCATGACCAAGCAAATAGAGTAAGATGCAAAAACAAAAATATCACCAAGATCAACCATGCTTTGAGCAGAGGAAACAAAATAACGGTCAGGAGAAACTCAGAAGACTGAAACTAGCAAAACTGGCTTGCCCTCAAATCTATGATATAGGCTGATAGATAAAATCAGCAAACTGACAATCTCCGGACAGAAAACTCGCAAGACCCACCTAAGAGAACTGAGAAACATAAATCCTCATTGAAAATTGAATCAGAAAGATGAAGTCTTTGGATTCCAAATTGGCATAAAGGGGCAAAAAACAAATACCCAGAAAAAAGAAACGTACTTACTAGCATCTTCATGAGTCAAAGCTCTGCAGCAAAGACCAAAAAGGAGACTTGCAGAGCAGAGAAAAAGAAAGAGGGAGAAGGAGAAGGAGAAGGAGCAGCACCCACCAACAGAGGGGGAAGGCCTTATTGTTGCAAGTATGTGTGGTATGAGCATTAATTGTATAAATGACACAAGCATAAATACTTATATATGGCAAGGAAGAAATAAAAACAGAAAATTAATTCATGGTAAGGAAAGAAAAATAAAAAAAAGAAAGAAAGAAAGAAATGTGCCACTATAGAAATGCCAGCTCTCCATGCACACAAGCAGCAAGCAAATCAAAAAAAACAGAGCAGGTGCAGTGCAGAGAGAGGAGAGAGAATAAAAAGAGGAATAAAATATCATTTATTGCCACTAATTGGTAATTACCCTCCAAATTGATTATGATTAATAACGTCTCTCGCCGACAAATTTGTTTGAAACGGCCCTCCATTTGAGAGAGTAATAAATGACAAGAAGAAGAAAAAACATTTACCCCAAAAAAAAAACAAAAAAAAAACTCAAACTTTGATAAGCAGAGTGTCTCTGTTTGCTTACATCTGTTGAAAAGTCATTAGTTCAAAGTCCACAACAGGAAGGGCATTGATAATGTTACCGGTAGTGCACGAAAAGTTTTGAGGTGGGGACAATTGCCACGTAAGCGAGATTGGAGGTGGTACTGGAGGAGGGTGAAACTGCGGGTGAGAGGGAATAAAATAAGTGAAGGAGTGCATGGGGCATTGAGACCGCATGTGGGTTGACAGAGCAGAGAGGGAGGTGGGACCTGCGCTCAATCATGGTAAAGATGCTAGCCTGGCGTCAATCACTGGACTGGACAGAACATAACCACAACACAAGGACCCAACTTATGTATGACACGTCACTTTTTTTTCATTTTATTTTTTTCATTGTTTATTCTTGTTTCCAATAAGTATTTTTGTTTTTCAGAAATATCTTTGGAAAGGTGAAAATAGAATTTGTCATTACTCATATTATTAGGTTTTACTGAATTTTTTTAAAAAAAATTATCTGATTTTTATGTTTACTAAATCATAATGAATTCCCACAAATAATAGTAATATATGACGTGGCAAGTGATGTATTAAATATCAAGTTGTTAGTCAATAGTGGATTTTTTATTTACATTTGACACAAATATTGTATTTGTTATTTACTTATTGTCTGATTTGTATAACTTGTATGGGCAATTTCACAACATTAATGATGAATTTAAATCAAACCTATTTTGTGTTACGTTTCTTATCCCATGGCACAAGTATGACATACCTAAATTGTCCTCAACATATATGTGTCATGCTTTACTCATGCTCGATTTTTATTTAACTTGGTTCCCAGCCACAAGTCTTCTTTAGCATGACCAAAGAGAAATTATAGAATAGTACGGTAGTGTGGCTACGTGATACATTTTGTACATGTGTTATAATATGAGTAGACGACATAGTTTATTTTTCCCTCTTAGGGAATAGTATCAACAAATATCCACTTATTATATATACCACGTAATCATACTACAGTAGTATTCTATAATCACTCACACGTCAAGTCTAACATAACCTATATGACCTATCAGACAATTCCATATCATGTTAAACTCGTTTCAAATGTTCTTTTTCATGTTATACTTGTGTTACCCCTTATTTTGTTTTATATCTCTAGCTAGTTTTCTTTATTGAAAGTAGGCTTAATTATTGTTTTGCCCCCTGGAATAGACGTTCAGTCTCACTTTACTCCCGTAGAACTAAAATTTTCTCACTTAGCCCCCAAAATCTCTAAAAAATACCGAAATTTTCTCACTTTACCACTTTCGTTCACAAAATCGTTAAGGTTACCAGTCCTTACCTACATCTTCCCCCTTTTCCCTATTCGATCACCCTCATTGCACCCCACCCAGCCCCACCACCCTAGTCCCCTCTCCCCCCCCCCCCCCCCCCAGCCCCACCACCCCAGCCCCCCCTCCCCCCCCCCCCACCCTAAGGAGGGTTGGGTATAGGGTAGGGGTTGGGGAGGAGGAGAGAGAGAGAGAGAGAGAGAGAGAGAGAGAGGAGATAGAGGAGCTAAAATTACAAAAATGCTCATGTCAAGTTAACAGTTTTGTGAACGGAAGTGGTAAAGTAAAATTTTGGCAATTTTTAGAGATTTTAAGGGGTTAAGTGAGAAAATTTTCTATTGCAGTGGGTAAAGTGAGACCAAGCGTCCATTTTAGGAGGTAAAACAATAATTAAGCCTTGAAAAGTAAGAATCAAAATTGGGCGGTATCTGGTTAAAGTCACATATTGCAGCTAAAACTTGATTCTTTTGATGCACTTATGAACTATGCTGGTCAAATCTATCCAAGGCGTACCAAAATGTCAGAGAAATTTCATTGGGAAGCATCTAATGTAAAATTTTGGTTATGATTTCGTTTTCCTCTTGTGCTTTTGAGATGCTCTTGCTTTTGCAGACCAATATTTTACAGACATAAGGTGAAGATGAAAATACATCAAGGTACGTAGGTGGCCCTAATATGCAATATGGTTCCTTCTTTAGTGATCTCCATAGCCCAGACCACTTCTTCTTTTATTGTATTGTCCCTTTTCATCATCTAACTTTTTGACCTGGAAGTTTTGCCAACATTTGTGATCTATTTTTGCTCAAATCTTCATCCGATCCAACTGATTAAAAAAAAAAACATCTATATGTAAAAGCACACCAAAGATTTCCCACTTTCACATTTTGAGTCTGAGTTTTATATAAAGAACTAAGAACGATCCTCTATGTAGCTGCTGCTTTTACTAGATCACACCAAAAGGCATCAATTCTTCTTCATCGCCGTACGTAAAGTTGAGCTTAGGAAATGTTGAAGTGGGGCAGTGTGAATATCCCCCCTCTTATGAACAAAGACAGCCGCAGTTTTTTAATAGGTTAACAATTGAGATGAATAATATATAGGGCCCTAATATATATCACAGTTGGCAAGCAAAAGGTTGTCCAAGTTAGCTTTTCTTTTTCAGTTTTTTTTTTTTTCTCTCTAAAATTAAAACAAGGGCAACACGATAGTTGAACTCAAGGAATGAATACGAAGATAAGTGTTCTACCATTGAAACTATGAATCTTCGTGATATCTTAAAATAAACTTTACCATTATGCGGTATCTTCTATAAAATCTCATGTTCACAAGTACGGAGATAAGTGTTAAACTACCGATAAAGCTATAACTAACAAGCTCACAAAGAACTCAATAATGATCCAGCATAAGAATTCTCTAAAAAAATTAGACTTAATGTTTGACAACTAGTATGAAAACAACTTCCCTTCCACATCAAAATAGCATACTAGAATACAAACTCTACAATATTATTGATCAAGTTAAGGTATCTGACAACAATTAAATCAATGTGTTCTTGCCTTAGGGTTTAAGCGTTGAATGGGTATACTCTTGCAATTATTCTCATGACAGAGACAAACATTCCAACATGCACCACGACCTTGCACAGTGGCTTCTACTTATAAACCACATGCAAAGCCAATTGAACCAACAGTGCACACATTTAACCCTAGGCCTGAAATTTTAGATTTTGTCAATGTGAGTGCGTCATATATATCCTGAAATCATGTTCTTTGGTCAAGACCACATGGCATGATAGGAACACAACGTTGGCAATTTGTCGACCTAACCCCTCAACATTGGCTGTCTTTTGTTTTCTTCCCCAATCACAACGTAAACAGTTCGAAAGCTATGGCAGTTTCTTCAGATGGAATTGACATGAAAGGAGATAAGAAAGCCGCGTACAGTTTTGGTCCTGTTGATTTTGGCATCTTATAGATTATACCAACTAGATCTACTAAGATTTGCCAGTTATAGAAAAGTTTATAAGGGACAGTGACCTGGTAGTTCCTTTCAGAGGGAGACTTGTTCCTCTAAGGAGAAGTAGTAATAAAATTCGATTATGTTACTGTAAATTCTTTCCGAAATTATGATGATTCGGGACGATAGATAACCACTGGTTTCAAAATCTTAAGCGTACTTATAAGGGTAGAGAGACGAACATATATGTGTAGCCCAACTCTCAACTTACAAACCAACAAAGAAGTGGACAACGAAAATCAAACTCATGACACTTGCATTCAAACACAGGTCTTTATCATATACATATATTCAGTGGCTCCAAGCAGGGATACATACCAAGTAACTTTCACCGGACAGCTTGCCCCTTTCATTCTTTCACACGAGAACAAATACATATGCACTGCTTCTGGACATCACATGGACACATCTCATGTGGAACCACGTTCATTGTCCGCTTACTGTTCTATTTACCTGATACTGACATCCTACGACAAGAACATGTACACGAGAGAAAAAAAAGATCATGCAATGTGATTCCAGCACTGCTCAACTAAGAAAACATCAAGATTTTCTACCTCAAAGAAAATGAAATGAGTCTTCCAGCACAGCGCATTTACAACCATTTAGACAATGGCAGATTTATGCAAGTTTTTCTGCCACCCTTTAGCTTCTGAACTAGCAAAAGCAAAGGAAAGATACCAGTTTTTTTCCGTATTGGGCATTCAGAAGTGCACAGAAACAATGCAAACCGCGAATTGCAGCCCAAAATCATTTAACACATCTATCATTTAAACATATGACTATACATAAATTTTTGCTATAACCATTAGATCTCTATATGCTCACACATTTGGTGAGTACAAATGGACCACCAACCTACTAGTCTGCTATAGTACATGAATACAATACAAATCAACTCTAGGAAACGGAAATAGAATTGCTAGTTGGAGCTACTAAGGAGGATTGTTAGTCGAAGATGTTGCTGTCCAGCCGTTCTGTGTTCCATTATCAACAGGCACCAAAACTCCCCACTTCCCCTCAGCTTCAGAGGGCTCTATAACTTTAACAGATCCATCTGTCAGTCCAACAGCAAATTGATATGGCTCATGCAGATGTGATGTAAGAGCTAGCGGGTACACGGTTTGGCTGTGGACACAGTAGGACAAAACTAGTTTAGATATCGATAACTATACAACGGATGGTGCTATCAACAACAATAGGCAACTTCTTTTTAATTTTTCATGCTAATTCTTTTTTCCTACTAACAACGGGGACACTCCATTTCAAGAGAGGGTTTTTGTCCTCTTTTCTGCATTTTGAAGTGGAAATCCAGGTAAATCCACTGAATATGGTGCTTACTAGCACCAGACAAATAATAGACTGTAGCAGAGTGAGAAAGCCACCTCATAAACCATAATTAACTAAATGCTCTAAATACCTGTTTGATGATGCTTGTGATAAGTACACCGACATGGCAATACGGCATCTTAGTTTCAGACTATCAGCATCAAATACTCCAATATTACCATCAGTGAAAGCTGCATAAACTAGTTGACTACTGGCGGAATATGCTGCACAAGATATGGGTGCAGGCAGTACATCTTGTGGCATCCACTGCAATATTTAAACAAATGAGAGATTTGTTGCACACAAACAAAAGCAACTCATCCAAGAAATTCGATTTCTATACCTGCCGAATGCATTCTGCTTTGGCAGCATCATATAATGCTAGTTGAGTCTCATGATATACCAATAACCGGACTTGATCAGAATAGAACTGTACTTGCGTGTCACCAAGAGGCGCCTTTCCAGAGGGCAGTTGAAGTGTAACCGATTTCCTCTTATCCCATGCATCCATGTTCCAAAAGAATAGCTGCAAAAGCATTTTCTTTTTACATTTAACAACTTTTACACATCAACTTAAGCAAGCAAAGTAACAAATTAACAAATAAAAAGGACATAGAAAAAGCCGGGAAAAAAAAAAACAATAACAGAGTTGTTCCCAACTTCCCGTTATAAAAGCGGAAGAAGAAGAAAACAATGGACGTCACATACTTGAGCATCGGCACCTGATGAAACCATGATTTTAAGGTTGACAGAAAATGCTAAACCAGTAATGTGCTTCTGGTGACCTTTCAGTTTTGTTTTGACCTAACAGGAGCAACACGAGTCATATTGGAAATCAACAAGAGCACCTCAATCACATGACAAATTGACAATATATATATATATATATAAAGATGCTTAAATTAATCACCTCATCAACTCTAACATTGTAAATGTGGATAGTTGAATCTTCCATTCCTATTGCTATGATGTTATTATCCAGAGGATGAAATGACAGGAAGGTTGAGACTGGTGGAGGTGGCATGAAAGTTGTCATTACCTGCAAACCAAGAAATTTTTATCCAAAACACGTTTTCCAATCCAATAAACGCACAATCATGCAAGCTGTAGCAGTTGATATAAACTGTCATAGGATAGATCTGCATTACATCAGTATTAAATTACCTTAAAAGTCATCATATTGAACAGAGACACTTTCCCCCCACAGGCAGACATCACATAGGAATCATTCTTTGAGAGTGCAATGCATGGAACTGCTTCTTCAAAATTTTCTGGTACATCATTAGTCATTAAAAGACCACTATTGGGTTGCCAATGTTGGGGAACAACACTTGCAGTGGCCTTTTAACCCGCAAAAGGTCAGAGATCCTTTCAGGAAAGTTGTGCAAATACTCAACAAAAAGAGAAACATGCATTCATGCGTATGTTAACCATCACCTTCCCACTTGGATTTTGTTCATTGCGGCTCCACTTCCACAGCTTCTGCACCCCATTTGAACCAAGAGCCAGAATGCCGGAACCAGAATTTGTGTAAAGAAGTCGAGCAACCTTAAACACAAATAAGACCATCTTAATATCATTATCTATAAATCAAAATCAACAAAATAGGGAAAATATAAAACAATAACCCACCTTGTTAGCAGGATCTTTACTCTCTGGTAAAGTAACCACTCGACACTTTACAGGATCAACAATCTCTGCCAGTTCCCAACGTTTATTTTTTTCAGATACATCATCTAAACTTCTTCGCTTTTCCATGCTTCTTGCCATAGAATCATTTCCATTCTATAACAAATATTTGGCAAAATTAGATGCTATAAAGGAAAAAATGAAAAATCACAATACAACTACACAACTTATTAAACTGAGTTGGTGACAAAGGCTACCAAAGTTCATGACTAAACAGCTATGATTGTAATTTAATATTTCAAGCTCATGCCAGCCAATCCATAGTAATTAAGTTATTACTACCAAATACGAATAAATTACATAATTTATATGCCATACAAGAATATGAGTAGGTCGAGCTGGAGAGCTTGTATCCATACGCTCCACTTTATTAACAGTCGGGTTGATGTTTGGAACCATGGAAGAACCAGATACCTGATCCATATAGAAAGAGAAAATCAGTTTCTCAAGAGACAAATATACAAATGATGAAAGGAGTAGCGTAGCATGGAAACAGAAAAACAACCTTCATCTCAATAGGAGCTCTGGATGCTTCATAAGAGCGAGTTTCAATTGCTCTTAGGGATCTGAGACCCTCAGCATTGGCAAGAATCTTGACTCCATTGTCAGCCGTGGTAACGGCAAGCAAAGTTCCTTCCTTATTGAATCTCAAGCGGGGAAGAGTCTGAAGTAATCCCAATGCTTACATCAATGGATGGAATCTCAAAGCAAGGTAATCTGCTAATCAAACCCATAATATTTGGAAATAAAAGTAAATAAATAATGACGACTTTTACCAGAAGCCCACCCTCAGCATCTGTACTTGTAAGAAGATTTGTATTGTCCATATCCCAAAACTTTATCTGGTTCTCTTCACCGACAGCCAAAAAGTGATTTCTTGTGGTATCAAATTGAACTATGCCAGAAGATTTCTTTCTGAACCCACTATATGTCCTCTTTATTGCCCCTTCACTTTCATTCCATTCAACCAGGAAGGAGTCACCATCTTTACTAGTCCCACAAGAGAATAATCTGAGATTTTGGAGGATCAGTCATAATTCATACATCATCACATGGGCATAGAGATATGTGATCAAGCTAACTTATAGCATATACCATACAGATCTTTTTTTATACCTATTTCCATCATCACTGTATAGCATTGTTGTGCACCACTGCCCAGGAGCATCATAATCAACCCTGGAGCCCACATTGTCATAGAGCCAAGCTTTTATTTTCCCATCAACAGCAGTTGAAAATATAAACTGCAAAGATAAAAAGGAAAATCATGACATAAGTACGACGCATCTTCAGCACGAACCTTTGCCTCACTCATTTTGGTTAGTTATTAAAACATAATTGTCATCACTAGTTATCTCATCGTTATAAATTGTGTAAAAATCCAACCTGCATAACAACATATGAAACAAATGAAACGCACAAGTAACAAGGACTACTAGATGAACAACTAATACGCTTGAGCATGTATGCATTCAAGCTAATTAAACCAATATGGCACTAAAAAGAGTTAAGTCTCCCACTTCGAGCTAATTAGTTTTTAAACATGCGCAAATGGACTCTAATGGCATCATACAGGCTATGTAACAAATAAATAAAATTAGAGTAACCCAACTGAACCATAGTCATTTGAGAACCAGTACCGTTAAGTGGCCATAATACATGCAGACCTGACTATTGTACTTTTTTTATTTTGCAGTTTGGATTCCAGACTTCAGAAAATGGGCATGTCTTACCTGAATATTCTCCTTCTGGTGGGGGCAAATCGAGTAAACAGGCGCTTCATGACCTTCAAAGTTGAAAAGCATTCTTCCAGACAAATCCCAAACCTATTAATTATTTTTAAAAAGAAGCAATTAATATTTATCAAGTTAAACGACAAAAACAAGCTACAGAATTCTGCCCCCACCTTTATCAGCTTATCATCTCCACAAGTTATAACACATAATTGCTTGTTTGGATGAGAGAATGCTAAGTCATTCACATTACCAATGTGGGCATCAATCTATAAGAAACCAAATCCAAACATCAGTCAAAAGTGGCAAGTAATGTCTTCTTGAATTAGCAGAAAGTGAACCAAAACATGCCTCCAAATGTTGGCGTAGATCAGTAGGTCCTTGATACGCATACAAATGAACCAAATATTTTGTAAATGCAATACCTGAAACAACAAAAATACAGCGAATTACAATCAACTATGCATTCAAATGGTGCTAGAGATGTGTTGCTGCACATACCAATAAAGTTTCCATCTGGACTCCATGCTACACGGCTTACAGACATTGATGAATCTTTGACAATAGCAGCCTATAAAAGACCCAATGTTAACTTACAGGATTTGGTCAATGATAATGAGTAGTACAGGCCTCTTCTAATAAATTTTAACTGAATATCATGACGACCGACACTTTAAAAACTGACTGAACCTACTAAGCACACATAAATATGATGTTTTTAATAACGATATAAGGATACTGAGAGGGAGTATAAGGTACTGACTGAGTAATGAGATAAACACCTGAAATGGCACAGAACAAGTAGACATATCCCATACTTTGAATGGCTTTGACACCAGCCTCTCTCGCATCCCAGCTTCCCATAGTGTAATTTCTCCATTACTACAGCCAACTATTTACAAACATAATTTTAAGTCGGATATGAGATTGAAGCTGTGTGGAAACTAAACTTTAAAGACAGCAATTCAATCTATGTCCACTGAGGCACAGTTATGTTAGGTGTTACAGACAACCTACCAGCAAGTAATGTGTGATGAGACGGGTGGAAATCCATGCTTATCACATTGAACCCCTGACGAAGAGTACATGCTAAATTTCTTGGAAGGTCATCTGGTGACCAGGAAGCATGTTGTGGATGGGGAGGATAACTGACCTGAACATATGAAGTATGAAGTTCTGTAATAACTAGCAACCATGAAACCACCTAGATACAGAACTAGAAAATGCAAGAAAAAAGTATTGAGAAATGATGCAGAGAACACAAACCATTTAACAATACCTCGTCAACAGATTGTGCAGACCGGAGACGTTTCATTAGTTGCTCATGATCAGAGCTCTGATAATCAATCATTCCAAGAGCATTTGATGGTGGTCTTGGATGCTTTAAACCAGAAACTGTTAAAGACAAAATGATTTTGAATTACCAAGATAGCTCAAATAAATAATAACTATATTCTGTTATCTGATAATCATCCAAGCAAATAAAACAATGATCAGCATTCTCAACGATAAATACTTCTTGTTGGACATAGGACAAATGAATATTTTTCTTCTTATAAGTATGATAATGTTCAATAAACAGACTGAGCAGCCAAGCATAGAAGAACTCTTTAAGAGTTTCTTGGACCTCTTCAAAACAGGGAGAAAGGCCATCCACCTGAACCTCCCCACCACCACCTTACTCCGTACTAGCACATATTAAGTAGAAAATGGAAATTGAAATAAACATGCTTAAGAAAGAATAAAAACATGTTTTACGTTTATTACGTTGTAGTATTAGTTTCAATACCAGCTCCAGAAGAATGAAAACCTCACCTTGACTGGGTTGAACAGGGAAGGGTGAAGCAGCAGCAACAACAGGTGATTGCACAGACAAGGAAGGATTAGCATTTGACATCCATCCGGCTAAAGCATTCGCATTAGCAGCAGCAGCTGCAGCTGCAGGCGGAAAAGGCTGTACATAGCAGTAATAAAGAACAACAAAATCACAAGGTCAGCATTAATTGAAAAACATTTCAACATTTGGAAAAAATAAAAATAAAATTGATACAAATATGAAGAAATATATGGTCATACTCCACCATGTGCTCCTAGAGGAGCATAAGTTGAAGGCTTTGCAAGAGCTGCAACCGGAAGAGTAACTGGTGTGGATGCACGAGCCCCATTTGGAGGAGAACATGAATGGTCCATGAATAAGGTCTTAATGTCAGGATTTGGCCTTGGGTTCTTGCACAGCTGGTGCTGCCAATTTAAACTGCACAAACAATAAATTAATGTTTCTGAACTTTTACGAATTATAATGATGTTTTACTGCAAAAATAACTACATTGATCTACCTTCATAGGAAATACCAAAATGTAAACTTACAAACAAAAAACAAAGGCATTACAAACACAAAAAAGACAAAATACCTTTGATTAATTAGAGTTCGCAAGCGTGAAGCCTTCAGGGTGGGTAGAACAAGCTTCTCTCGAAACAAAGGATTTGCTTCAATCAACTTTTTAAGTTCTACTAGCATTATGCTTCTAGCTGATTTAGTATCACCATATTTTGATAATTGTTCATTTTCTCTGCATCATATCAAAAATAATATAAACATAAAAAAGAACCCCAAATATATATATCCCTCAAATTGCACGCATGTGTATCCAAAAATAAATGTAAATAAATAAGAACTATAAACACATTTAAATGGTTAAGCAACCCAACTTACACATAAACTTAAAATGTACTAAAACAGTGATCACCTGAAGTTATCAAGAGTCAAAAGATGAGTGATTTCTTTGTACAATTCTTCGTTAAACGTCGAAAATACTTTCAAATCCTTCACCAGTATCTCGACGGCCTTAGCTCTGTCATTCCTGAGCACATTTCCAAATTGCAATGACAAATAACCCCATCAGCAAACACAACAAATAAATACAATAAAAGACGAAAAATCTGAGAGACAGAGAGAGAAATTGAAATCAAAACCTGTCGAGGGCTTCCAGATACTTCTGCTTTCTGACCTCGAAGTAAATCTTCATAGAGTAACGATTCTCATCGACTTTGGTGAAGCCGGAGAGATACTTCTCGACCTCGTCCCACTCTCCCGCCAAAGCTTTTTCTTCAAAGTACTTCATGTTGAAGAAGTAGCCCGACTCTTGCTCCAGCCTAAGTTTTGCCGCCGCCATATCCATAGCCAATTCAACATTCAAACTTCAGCCCCAAAAAAAGAATACCCATAAAAAACAAAAATGCAATCACTCACTCACCTGTGCACGGTCTCCTTGAATTTCTCTTCCTCGAGAAATTGAAGGATCAGGAACACCAGTTCTCTGCTCAAAGACGACATCTTCGTCCCCTGAATTTCAAGATTTCAAAAGGTCGAATCTTTCAGTTCGAGGAGGAGGATTAATGGCTCGCAACGACGGCGTTTTGGGAGGAGGCGAAGTTTCAATCGGGCGTAGGACTCGTAAAAGGTTCTAGGGTTTCTGATTTCATAATTTGCAGTTCAACGACAACAGTGCAGAAGCACAACGAGAGAAAAAAGATAAAAGATAAAGAAGAGAGAGAGTGAGATAGGGGAGTTGTTCGCACTTTCTTCGATGCGTTTTGCAGGGTCTTTATTTGGCACCCACCTATCAGCCATCACGTATAGCTTATCACTGATAGTGAGATGTTGATAAGCACATCGATGATAAGTACCATTACTTATCTACGTAGTGGGAACTGAGAGAAACTGAAGAAGCTCAGTGGCTCATCATTTCGTAAAAGGACGAGATTACATTTGGATAAGGGCATGATCCAGTGCGACGCTCCAGGGTAAACACGAGTTCTAGTTTGTTGACGTTTGGTGTGCTGTTTATGCGTGGCGAGAGCCTATTGGGTTATGAGACGTGGTAGAGGTCAGGTGGGAGTAGTGGATTGGAGTTGTGTAAAGGCGTGGTGGTTCCGGAATCGAAGAGGAAAATCAAATAGATTGAATATACGTGGTAACGTCCACCACATCCCGTTGCCTTGTCGGGTGTCTACGTGTCAAGTTCTCTACTTGGATCTCCTGCCAGCAACTCATGATGTTACTTTTGACATGGATTGTCCTAGATTTCTTTTTTTTCTTTTTTTTCTTTTTTTTTGTGTAGAGTAGTGATTTCCTCAATTCTCCTTCTCTTGGAAGTAGTCAGTCGTATTTCCAAACTAGTCATACATTGATATACGTCCATAAATATTTTTATTATTGAATATCAATTTGTAATTTGCATAAAGTAATGGCTCATTGAAAAAAAACAAAATAGCATATCAGTATCATAAAATATGTTATTGACACTTCAAAACGTAGGGGTCTTGCAATTTTTCTTTATTTCTTTTTTAATTTTATTTTCAATTTTCATAAGCAAGGTATTATTAGGGTTCACATGTGGTTTTGGATGATCAACACGAGATTTTAATAGGTTCAAGGTCACGACTTTTATTGGGTTGATCAGTAGTAAACTTTTCTTTTTATGCTCTTCAGCATGGGCGGTCCTACCCCTAAAGCAAGGTAGGCTGCTGCTTACCCCAAATTTTTCAAAAAGGAAAAAATACTCATAAAATACATATATGCATCTTTAATTTTAAGATTTTGTATATGACAACATTAAATCTAATATATTTTAAATAGGTTAGAAGTTATACATTCTAATCTATTCTAGGGTCTTCTAAAAAAAACTATTCTAGGGTTTAATTAAGAATGAATTATAATTTGCAAACTTTGTTGAAATTATTTAGGTATTTGATTTTAGGAATTTTGTTGAGATATTTGATTTGATATTGGTATTGTTGAGATGTTTGATTTGTTGTTGGTATGTTAATGTTTAATTAAAAGCATTGATGCTATTATGATAATTTATTTGATTTTTTGTTTGGATGTTTGATTAAATAGGTTATCTTTTGTTATGTTGGATCACAATTCAAACCCCAAGAAAACAAAGAATTTGTTGTCTTTTTTTGCTAAGCTTTTATTTTATGTATAGAAATGCATTTTAGGGTAAGCCTCATTACGTCCCTCTACTAGGTGTATCTTTTTTATGTTTATTAATGAAATTCAATCGTAATGTCGAGTTTTTAATATAAGTTTCGCCCAGTCAAATTTTGAATCCTGAATGTCACTACTTCTGAAAGTGATCTACACAATATGGATGGACTAGTCATCCAAGAGGTACTAGAGTGGTACAAGACTAGTCATATCTAATACTAAAGTCATAATGAGGAAAAAGAATGTATTTACGTCAAGTGTCTATGAGTAGAATAAGTTATTATATTTGTCCATGTGTTGGATCGAGGTATTTATAGGAGTTTGGTAGCAGCAATCTGTTGTACAAATAGCAACCTAAAAATTAAGCAACTATATGCACGTTTTAACTCGCAAGTGCACAAGATCAGACAAATAGTATAGAAAGCAAATACGAGATGATTCCCACGAGGATTGGATTAATATGTGTTTAAAATTAATTTCCTACAACTACTAACTAAATAGCACAAACTAAGAATGCAAAAGTGAAAGAAAACCCTAAAAAAACTTATTTCAAAACCCTAAGATTTCTAATCAAAGTTAAGGTGCAATACACAAAGGCACTCGGTGTAGACAAGGTGTTCAAAAGGATGATTTTAAGATGATTTTGAAAACTGAAAATTTCAAAACAAAATATTAAAAACAGCATTTGATTAAAAATTGAATTGAATTGAGGTTAAAACAATGAGAAAACTAATTAGGGATTCGATGTTCACCGCTAATCTTCTTCCTTAAGCAAATGGCATGCACAATGCTACAAAACAGATTTTAGATGCTCATGTTTGTCAACCTAAAGGCATAATATCTACTCTTTAAATTATTGATTTCCCTACGCAACAAGTTAGGCATGGGTATCTATGCTAACTCTTTTCATTCTTAAAGTGTTTGGCATGGTATCTACTAAGTTGAACTTTAAGAACACATAACACAATGGAAATCGACAAACACACAACTCCTATAACATAGTATCTATTCTAGTTATTCATGATGATTAATTTCAAGAACTTATAACTAGTTCTTTTGTTACTCTCACAAGCACAAGACTCGGTCATCTAAATTTACCCATGTAACAAACTCAATACATAGCATGCATATGGTGATCAAGCATAACATAACGTATGTAAAGAGTAAAATATATCTGAAATTAATCAATTAAGCATCACAAAAGTAGTTTACAACAAAGGCATATCGAAATCATTAAAGAAACATGATTAGGGCTTCAATCGAGCCCTAACTAAAGTACTTAGTTACCCATAATTTAAATAGACAGCAAGAACATACAAAACAAAAAATAAAAAGAGGAAGAAGATAGCTCTTTGATGATGTGTTGGTCAGCCAGAGTGATTGGATGACGCCTTGACGTTCCTCCTTGCTTCCTAAGCCTTTCAAACCTTGGAACCTTGAAGGATGGAGGAGAATGGGTTGGTGTGGCTGCCCTCTTCTTCTCTTTTTTTATTTTTTTATTTTTACGACTCAAAAATCAGCTCCCCTCTGCACAGCAGCCGCCCCTTTTTTTTATTTTATTTTATTTTTTTCCTTTCTCTTCTCAAACAAGTTTGTTTTCCACGTTTCTAAAACCCTACATATTTTTTTTATTCAAACATATAAATCCTTGGGAAATAGGAATATTCCTAATTGGCCCAGTTGATGTGATTTGGGCCTCAAAACTTGGACTTCATACAAGATTGCAGATTCTCGCACAGCCCAAACTACCTGTACTAAAACCACCATAACTTCCTCTAGAAAAATGATATTCACGAACCGTAAAATTCCTCAAAAATAGATATCTGTAGCTTTCCAATCATATGTGGCTCATCTTCTGGTTCTTCCTGAGTCAGTATAGTATAATCCGTGAACTTGATTGATCTACACATGCCTTTCAAACTCAACTTTCTCTTTTTAGCTCATTTTCCGCCATTCGCTTGTGATTACCTAAAAAAGTAATAAAATAATGTAAAACATGTATAAAAGAGTAAAACAAAGGTGTAAACATGGAGAAATATCATAGATAAATGTCGAATTTATGAGCACATCACAATCTTCCTTGAGAAATGGGTAAGAGATGTATGGTCATGCCTAAGCATGGCTGTAGTGTGGTTAGTATGGAATCCCAACAGATGGTCGACACCTGGCAAAAGTCTATGAGTGCATTAAATGCAAAGTCCAACAAATGGCTAACATGTGGCACTAGTAAGGTGATCACACCTCAAATCCTGGTTAAGGGGGATGATGCCGTACCAATCCCTGATTTCTCCAAATGTTGGGGAGAGAGATTGCCCTCAAGTATTAAGTGCAGCGATTGGGTCAAAAGAAATTGGGGGACCACGTGCCCATTGACTCGACCGAGAAGGTACATGGGAAGGTGCTCTCGAAACTACAACTGTGGTGGTAGTAGTACTTGCACAACATGTCTACTTAGCATAGGAAGCGCGCATATGTGAGGGGAGAAGGCTTCAGTGTCGGAGTTTGGAAAATATAATGTGTTTTTAATGGTCAATTGGCTTAAAAGGGTACGTGTGTCAACAATTGAGTAATAGCCTATTCAAAGTAACATATAAATATATGATAACTGTCTTCAAAACAACTCTTAAAAAGTAATGTAAATGTGATACCATCATTGGGTTCTACTCATATTACAAATACCTCTACACATAATTGAATGTAGCAAGTGACGAGAGTTACAATAAGAAGAGAATCGCAAGTATTGCTATTCTCACTTGTACGATTGTATCTTATTTCATCCGACTTTTTATTTATTTATGAAAATTCTAATAAAAGTTCATTATTGTTAAATAACATCTTAAAAACTTGGAGCAATAAAATCATACTATTATAGTCAAATTTAATGTTAAAGTCACCTTTCAAGGAATATCCCCAGATTTTCTATCAACACTACTACCTCCAATAACGACCTAATATTTTACTTTTGAGAATTGTTCGTTGAATCACTAGATAGAAAACTAAAATATAGTAATTGACAACCTTTTTTATAATTGAACAAAAAAACTGAGACAAACTGAAATTAAAAATTAGAATTACATTGCTCTTACACTAATGTATTAGATTAGTATTTTTGGACATGTCTCAAATTTGAATATTCTCACTTCCAATAATTTTAGAAAATGATCGATGCTTTTGGAAACCTAATGGATGGGCGTTAAAAAAATACGATGAGTCATAAAAGATAAATAATAATGGCATTAGTGTTATTCTCAAATTTACCAAGGTTTTTTCAATTTGTGTTAGATTATCAAAACAAGGATCACACATGTGATGTATGTGCATGTATTCAATGTTAGAGTACATGGTACATGCATTGAATTTTATTTATTTTATTTATCGAGATAACTAGATGTCATTTAATAACCAAACAACATAATACAACGAAAAGAGGGAAAAAGATGGTACAAGGTTGGGCCTCTGTAAAAATAACCTTTGGCATAAAAAACCCCCCAAAAGGAGGAAAATCCGCTAAAGGAAAAAGAGTGCTTCCCACTTGACATCAAAAACATAAATCAACGAGGTCAGGGGTTCGATCCTTGCTCTCGTACGGAGTCACCACTTTGGCCAACACTTTACCCCTTACGGGCCGACTCGGTGTGAGTGGGGATTAATCTGAGTTGTGGTTAAGGCTTAAAGGTGCCACCCATAGTTGGGGCCTATCCAGGACCACCTCATGGTTCAGACAAAAAAAAAAAAAACATAAATCAACCAATAGCTTATAAATCCACCGCAAGCAAAGAACTCAACCAATGAGGCTCATCCTCAATCCATGTTGAAAAACCAGCGTTCCTAATAGCATATTGAGCTAGCTCATGAGCAACCACATTACCATCCCATTGCTACCATTCACATGGAAAGATCTAAATCCCAACTACATCTCCTTAATATCTTCCACCAAGTTCCCTTCTGCTTCAAAACACTCTTCGTCATAATTGATTCTATCTACTGCCCCTTGCACGTCTATTTCCAACAAAATATATTGAAACCCAAGATCATGTGCAACTTGAAGACCTTTCTTTACGGCAATTAGCTCCATAGCTTGGGCACTTAAATGTCCCACCACTTGACGAGAACAAGCAACCATAAATTCACCATTTTCATTGCGAATCACTACTCCGACTCCCTGCACTAACCCACCAAGGTTAATTGCCCTACCCCTTCAACATTAAGGAAAAAAGATAGGGCTAGTCTAATATAGGCCCCTGCAGTTTCTATTTCCTAGACATCAACCCATTAATTTTGAAATCTATGTATAAAACCCAAATTTAAACTAAAATGCCCTGTAAGATATAAAAAAAGGTCATAGTACTCCTACATATTTACATTGTTTGCCACCAAACTTCAGATAAGTCAACCGGATGGTTTTCAATCATGTCATTAAGTCTCTCATTTCTGATTAATATTTCCTCATTTATAGCATATCAATTACTACCCTTTTTTTTTTAGGCATTCCCTCTAATCCCTACAATTTCAACTAATAAAAAAATCCTTAAATTTTCGACCAATAAAAAATCCCTCAAATTTCATCCCAATAAAATATGATAGGTAAATTATTATCAATACAATATAATGTACCTACAAATTTACCTATCTTGTATGTATCAAATACGAGTAGGTAAATTATTTTCACAATATACCTATTAATGTGCTGGCTTTAATATGCCTACAATATGTATGTATTTATCCAATACAATATAATAAGTAAGGTAAATTATTTTCACAATATACATGTGTTGGCTTTAATATACCTATAATATACTCATAATAGGTAAATTACAAGTTATATTATTGCATAACAAGAAATTATTAGGTAAATTATATACAAAATGCGTTTATAAAAGTTGGGTATATTATTTGAATAATAAGTAGATTCATACTAGGTATTTTTTGTAAAAGAAGTAATTTTTCAACATAAAATTTTATGTACGCTATTATATTTATAAAACAATAATATAATAGATAATTAATCACGTATGTTAAATAAATAATTTTTTATATTAAATAAACTGATTAGGTATGTTAAATTTAAAAAAAGTTACCAAATTAATTCCTACATCCATTTGGAGATTTTTCCATTTTCAACGCTTGTCATTATAGTTACAATCTAATTAAAAATTATTTCTATATTTATTCCTACATTAATATATAAAATGCAATAGTGGTTTAGTTGGGGGTATTTTAGGACAAAAAATACAATAAATTCGATTTTGTGCTTGATTAGGTAACTTGTTGAGTTTGATTCTAGTAATCGGGTTTTATTTAGAAAAACAAGATTTTTGAGGAAAAATGACTTTGAAGGGGTTAAGCTCAATTTATATGGGGGGTGGGGGGGAGTAGGATATAAAACCATATAAATGAGATATATAATACCTTCCTAGCTATTAGAGCAAGTCCAGCGCTTGCATCAAACCGGGCAGGAGGCCCCCCAGTCAAGCCCAGCAGGGCTCCAGCCCGAGAGAAGAAGCCCGTGCAAGCCATGGGTCCCATCAACCTAGGGAAGCCCACGAGCAATTTTTGCCTGGGCTCTAGCTCGAAGGCGTTGACGTCAGCGTTGATATCACGTTGACGTCAGTGAGCAAAAAAAATATAAAATAAATAAATAAATAAAAAACCAAATTGGGGTGGATTCTTTTTTAAAAAAAATACCAAATTTTTAAAATATATTTTGTTGCATAATCTTTTTTTTTTTTTGCCCTTGCCCTAACCTTTTGGGGTGGATTCTTGCCCTTGCCCTAGCCTTTTGGGGTGGAGCCAAAAAAGGCAAGGCTGCCACTATTCATGTGAATAGTGGCAGCCCTTGGGTTGCCTTTGCCTTGCCTTAGCCTTTTGGGATGGACATGCTCTTAAACTTATTACATTTTTCTTATCAATCATGTTGAGTGATTTGAACTTAGAATCTTTTTCAACATTGAAAATAAATATGTTAAGTGGTTCGAGCTTTTTTATTCACCCTAAACCCTTTTTATTTATTTTATTTTTATAAATACAAACGTTAGTTTAAACTACAAAAGTTACGTTGGTCCATTATTTGAATTTTTTTTTTTGGGTATTCATTGATGAAGATAATTCTTTTTAATTAATATAGATAATAGTTAATTTAGTTTTCTACTGAATTCACAATTTATCGATATGGGTAACTGGATCTGGGCCGCGGGGACAGGTAACCCTTTATTTTTGAAGCTGACCCGTCTTGGCCCCTACCCGAAAATCATGTCCACCAAAACCCTGAAAAAACCCTTCGATACAAAACACAAGCACACAAAGACCACAGCGTGGTCTAACAGAGACGAAGAAGTTGAGCTCTAGTATACTCCAATGGCGGCGAAGAAGCAGGAGAAAAGCGGACCAAAGAAGAGGAAGCAAATCCCAGGAACTAAGTCCGAGACCTATAGCTCCACTTCCAAGAAGCCCAAGTTACTCAACTCAAAGCCTTCCAATCCTCGAAGCAATGACTTCAAGAAACCCTCCAAACCTTTCAAACAACGAGAACCAGGGCTTGATAATGAGAAGCAGGTCCCGCTGTCAAAGAGAGAGGGTCGCCTCCGTGCCAAGGTCGATATCTGATAAAATATAATTAGAAAATTGGGCTTTTGTGCTTGATGCTGTATTTTATTGACAGCAAGTAAATGTTACTGCTTTTTTATTTTTTCTGATAAATCAACAATTTTGATTTGTGGGTTTTGTTGCAGGAGCTTGCAGAGTCTAGGAAGAAGAAGCGGAAGCGTCATTACAATTTAGAACAAGTAAGTGTTTGTTCACTCTATTTTTTTTCTAAATTTGTTTGGATAAGCATTTCAGTTTGCAAATTGTTAAGAGGAAAAATAAAATATATATATGAATTGGTCGTGCGTCAAAATAATCTGAATGTGAATTGGTAGATGAAACCTGGCCTTTTCTTATAACATGCAAAAATGTGCACCAATCTTTGTATTCACAACAAACATTTTGTGTTCACAACTTGTATGACCTCGTTAATTCATGCGTCATTTCAAGTTATCATTGGGTGTGCTATGTGTGCAAAGACAACCCCTTAACTTAAGCCATTTAAAATGCTCGAACAATGAGCTTTTTGTGGCAATGAGCGAAATTTACTTATTTATTTATTTTAAACCTTTTTAGGAGCTTGCACATCTGTGGGAGAAGATGCGTCGTCGGAATATTTCTAAAGAAGAGCGATCCAAGTGTGTAGTTTGAGAAGAGTTAAATTGCAATTCCACCCTGATCATGTCTCTTTATGCCTAAAATATTCATTTACTTATTTTTGTTATTTATGAACTTTGGCAAGGTTGGTGAGTGAAGCGGTAGAAAAAATGAAGGGGAAAATTCCTGAAATTGCATGCTCCCATGTTTCTTCTCGTGTTCTGCAGGTGATTATTTATCTTCATTCCTATAATGTTTTGAAGTTTTAAGTCTCTGTTTTCTTGCAGTAGCCTGAATTTATGTATTCCTTTTACCTTAGACTTGTGTCAAGTACTGTTCACAAGCGGAAAAGGATGCGGTATTTGAGGAGCTTCAGCCACATCTTCTTACTCTTGCATGCAACACTTATGCTGTTCATCTGGTGACAAAAATGTTAGACAATGGTATGGTTCAGATTGGAAGAAGAAATATAAAATATTGTAGTCTTCCTTACAATACTATTATAGTTTGAATTTCATTATTTTCTGATAAATTATTAAGTTGTTACCTATTCTTTGTTTGGCAGCCTCCAAAAAACAGTTAGCAGGGTTTATCTCGTCTCTCCGTGGGCATGTTGCTTCCCTTCTACGTCACATGGTTGGATCTGTAGGTATGTTATAGCCTCCCTGTAGTACTTGGAGAGATATCTCACAAGCAATATCCAACCAACCATTTTTGTTTCCTTTCTCACACTTTGAGCAGTTATAACATTGTTGCTACTTCTCTAAATTCTCTTATAGTCGTTGAGCATGCATACCAATTGGGAAATGCAACACAAAAGCAAGAACTTTTGGTGGAACTATATTCTACAGAACTACAGTTGTTTAAGGACTTGGTCTCGAAGAAAGAGGGCAGGTAAAGGATCAGTTGTGTATAATCGTTTTACATGAATGTAATGCTATCAAATTCTTATTGCACTTTGAATTTCACAAAGTGTTTGATATGTGTGGCTTCCACAAGGACTGCAACCCATGAAAGTTATCTTGATATTATTCTTTCTTCTGATATTGATCAAATTTCAGGTTACTAGATATAATTTCAAAGTTAGATCTGCAGAAATCTTCAGTCTTGCGGCACATGACTTCAGTGATTCAACCAATTTTAGAGAAAGGAATAATTGATCACTCTATAATACACAGGGTGTTGATAGAGTACTTTACAATAGCTGAGAAGGTATGGTTGAGAAATTACTTGCCTACAATATAGGCCTTTGCTTGTCATTTTGTCTCCTTTTCTGAAAATCAATTTTTTTTTTTTTGGAAGTTCTCTGCCACAGATGTAATTAAACAGTTGTCAGGTCCGCTTCTTGTTCGGATGATCCACACAAGGGATGGATCTAGGGTTGGGATGCTCTGTGTCAAGCATGGCAGTGCAAAGGTAGATTCTAATCATATCCATGTGCAAAATTTTTATCATTAAAAAATATGCATAGGAGTTTTGGCTAATGGTGTACATTTTCTTTTAATTGTTATGACTTGTTTCTAGGAAAGAAAGAAGATAATCAAAGGAATGAAAGCCCACGTACGTGATATAGCTCTTGATCAAGGTGGAAGTATGGTAAGCTTTGGGGAATTTTATTTTGTGTTTTCTGTTGTCATTATTTCAGTGCTAATATTTGTGATATTATGCAGTTGTTTCAGTTGTTTGTATACATGACACAAAGGTTATTTTGATATTATTCATACCTGATAATGAATTAATTATATGCTTCCCAGGTGCTTGTTTGCCTTCTTTCAGTTGTTGATGATACAAAGCTTATTACTAAGGTTTGTTTTTCTGGTGATGTTTGTTGCAGATAGGATTTTAATTTTTCTTTATAATTTTTTTTGTGGGGTTGCAATATATGAATTTCTAATGAACCTTTCTAAATCAAATACTCCTGATTACAGGTTGTCATTCACGAGCTTCAAGAAAATCTGAAAGATCTTGTTCTCGATAAGGTTGTCGTTCTGATCTGCTGCTTATCGAACATATTTCCATATCTACAGTAGTCCTATTTCACCTTATCTTCCACTAATCTACATTCCTAAGAGATGCTTTACTGTTTGCAATTGTTCAGAATGGAAGGCGCCCATTACTGCAGCTACTGCATCCAAATGGGTCACGCTATTTCACTCCTGACGACCTGGCTTCTCTCAGTTTGTCTATCCCTTCTCTATCCAACAAGGTAGATTGTATATTCTCTTTCATAGAAGATAGAAATGTATTTTGATAGTGATGTACATGCATGGGAACTTACCCCATTGCTCTCTATTCTCAGGTTGAGTCAGACACCCAATCTGAAACAAAATCTTCAGAAGTTAATAGATCTGGTGAAGAGGCCAGTAGTGATTTGGAAGTGACAGTAGATGAAGCCAATACGAATGATGATGACCTCCACTTAGTTGAGGGTGGAAAGAAGGATCCTTCCATAAGAAGGCAAGAGTTGTTAGTCAAGAGTGGGCTGGCTGAGGTTTGTTGCTTTAACACAAAATAGGTTCCAATTTAAACAGAGATATTAATTATAGTGAAGTTGATTTGAAATTCCGCTCAACCATTTTTCACAATAAGACTTTGACTTTGGTGGGGTATGCCTTGCAGAGGCTAGTTGATGTATGCACTGAAAATGCAGGGGAATTGCTTAGTTCAAATTTTGGAAAAGAAGTCATATATGAGGTACTTATGTTACTAATTTTGTCAATGCAGAGATTTTACCATGGGAAAAGTTTTAACGTTTTCCCAAATTTTTGACACCATTCGAATGTGGAACCTTTTAATACATGCAGGTTGCAACTGGGGGTGATGGTGGCATTCTACACCCAATTCTGGATGAAAAGTTGAATGCGTTATATGAAGCTATAGCATCTCTTGTAGCAGAGCCTAAATCCGAAGAATCAAAGGAGGAATCAATGGAGGAATCAAAAGAGGAACACATCTTGGAAAATTTCCATTCCAGTCGGACCATTAGAAAGCTAATCTTGGACTGCCCCACCTTTGCTTCCACCTTATGGAACAAAGCACTGAAAGGAAAATGTGAATTGTGGGCCCAAGGTCACAGGTCAGCCTCTTTGTCTTATTTCCAAGTATGATGCACGTGAATGAGCATAGAAGTGCATGTGATTCTTTCTTTCGTATTTAAGTCTCTTTTTTTATGTGATTGCAGCGGCAAGGTAATTGCTGCATTCTTAGAATCTTCAGACCCTAAGGTACATAAACTAGCAAAGAAAGAGTTGCAACCGCTGATAGATGGTGGTATTCTCAAAATCCCCGAGACAAAAGTAGCCAGTGGAGCAAAAGAATGAGGAAATTGCTCACAAAGAACAGAAATGGCATGGTGATCGCTTGCTAAATAACAAAGTGACACCAACTCTCTGTCATAACCGGCATAACTCTTTCGACTAAATGCAGTTAAAAGTGAACTTACAATTTTGTACGAGTGTTGTCTTTTTCTTATTATATTGTTGAAATGTGGTTGGTACAGTCCCAAACTATTATAAAATTTGAATTTGATTAACAAGATTCTGTGCATTCAACGCATTTGGGTGTGCTACTGTTGTTTATGCTTATTGTGTTAAAGTTATTGTTTTATCTTTCTACGATTGAAATCAGAATGAAATATAGACGATTAATTCTTACCAACTAATTCTCAGGAAGTCCATGACCTTGGAAAATATGCAATAGATTTCCTACCAACTCAATTGAAATCAATAATCTGGCAACAGAGCAATGCAGGAAAAAAGAGTTGAAGGAGCCTAGAAGGAAATGACTTCACTGTTTTTCAATTAATGAATGAAACAATCTATTTCTCTAAAGTTATGAACGGACACAAGTAGATCTGCTCTTAAAAAATGCCCTATCTGATCTGACCTCAAACACCGGAGAATCATACGTAGCTCTACCGGGTTCATAATTCAGTACTTGATGCCCTGTACGCAGGTGCCAAAAGTTCTGAGGTTTACTGTGAATTCGAGTTCGGAGATGAGGATAGCCTTGAACCTTGTGGTCAGATGGATTGAAGATGGGGGATTCTCTGCTGGACCTGCTCCGAAACACATCATAAGCAGCAGGTGGGCTGAAGAGTGAGGATTCTCTTCTTGGTGCAGCAGCTGCATTGGCCCTCAAACAGTTTTCTATAACTCTTGCCTCCTCCCTAAACCTGTTTCTGATATCTTTCAGACCCTTGACAACTTTGCAAGACCTTGACGAGCTTGTGGGATTACAAGCCTTGTGTTCTGAAGCATTGGCATTGCTTGAAGTTTTGTGAGTGGTGTAGGGGATTGTACCACACTCAAAGCAGAACTTCCTCCATCTCTCTAAGTCAAAAGCTCTTCTTTTTGCATTATCAGAGAGACATGAATATGCCTGCAATAAAAAATCATAAATTTGAGTGAACCCAGTATCCTAAATAGATTTTTTTTTTTCTTGCCAAACTTAGGGAGTCGACCCTAAGACCATTGCTCTGCAAGTTAGAGGTCTTTTGCCATTGGGCTATACCCAGTTGGCCAATATCCTAAATAGATTAATCATAATGTGAGTGTATTGCAATTCAATGCACTCACACCCTAAACATGAATATGCTGTTGGGTCCAATATGTTCTGTCAGCCTTTCACATGGGACTCACCCTTCACCAAAGTCCATGTAACCCAATTAAGGTGAGGGATATTATTTTTCACCACAAAACTTTATATCATTGTACTGGACTGGACAGACCTGCACCTGAAATTTTGTCTTCAATATATTTTGGGAGGACATGGTTGTGGTAAACAACCAACCCTACCAAACTCCATGAAATTTCAATTTTCTTTCCATTGACCACTGTCAACTTGTGGCCAAGAGAAAAAATAGAGCTCAACCAAAAACTATCAAAAGGGTGGAACTTGGATTGGTTGAATGCAATTCTAACCTCTGAGACAAGTTTGAAGGCAATCTCAGCCTTGGGATGCTTGTTCTTATCTGGATGAAGTTGCAAAGCTGCACAAAAGAATAAGCCTAATTAACCATAATCACCACCACCACCAATTAAGGAATACGAAATGTTAAATCTTTTAGCCAAACCTACCAAGTTCATGGTACCTCTTTCTTATAACATCCCTTCCAGCATTTTCTTGCACCTATTCATTCCCAGAAACGCATAAACATTAATCTTGAAATTAATTAACAAGAGAAAGAAAGAGAAAAATAATAAGAATCCCACAAATGGGTTAGCGTTTTCAATCAAGATGGTCCAAGAAAACGTACTCGAAGAAGACGATACCAATCGATGAAAGATGATGATTTAGCTGGGCTGTTGCTGCAGCCATGCCTATGAGAGCAGGCAATGGAGCGTGTGGAAATGGAGCAAATCTCTGTGACCAACTGGGATTTGAAATCAGAGTCATGTCCCATTTTTTCTCACTGAGAAAACAGAGAAAAAATGGAAGGTGGAAATGGAAAAGAATGAGAAAATGTTTGAAACTTTGAATGAGGGGGTTTCAAAGATTCAAAGGCAATGTGTGGTTTTATTTCTGCATGTGTGTTTTTAGTGTAATTTTTTTGGTTTTAAGAGAGAGAGAGAGAGAGAGAGACAGTGATGGCAAGGTGGAGCGGTTAAGAAAAAAGAGCAAAGTTTGCGGGTGTGATTTTTGAAAGTGGATCAGTTGGTGCCCCTTGGTGGGAAGAGGGAATGGGAAGAGGTCATCCGTTAATCTTGCCACGTGGTAGAATTTGAGGAGGTCTAGCCAGCCATTATAGTCCTTCAGTTTTAATTTTATTTTTTTCTTAGCTTAAATTAAAATTTTGAACTTATTCTAAACTACAGACTCGAAGTTTGGTGCAGGGTGAGGATCACATCCGTTCCAATGAATTTGGCTAAGCGCATGCATGCCTAAGGTTTAAATTTTAAATAAAAAAGGCAATGGGTAGGGGTTTTAGGCTACTTTCTTGTGGGGTCACACTACGGATTTTCAAGCAACTCATCTTTGTCAATATCTGATACATCAGTGTCTTGGTTTTCATTATTTTTTCGATTTGACTGGTATGCCATCCTAAAATTTGAGTTGTATATTATAAATATATATTCACTATATATAAAGAGCTTATCTTAAACTAAGAAAGTAATGATATACTGTTAGTGAATTTAGGTTCCAATATTACTGTTCATGTATTTAACAAAATAAAATGATGGTATATTTGGTATAATTGTTACAACAATCTCACCACCAAACGTTTCCCAAACAAGACTTTAAGATAATGCAAAATGGTTGGTGAATATCCTGGCTTTCATGAAATGAATTCTGTTGGTATCTTGGAAGGAAAAAAAAGTTAGCAATGAGGTCTATACTATATGGTACAAATGTCTGTGTCAAATGAATTAACTAATTGCCATCCAACCAAAAGGGCTATAAATGGAGGGTCCAAAAGATTGAATGTTGCAGATGGCAACAGCTACTGGAGAGAGATTTTTATGCAACGGGAATAAATATTTTTGCTATTTTCGACTAATAGTGCAATGACATGCATAATAACTTTTCTACGTGTCGTTGCATTATTGGCCGGAAATAGCAGAACAATATTATCTCCGTAACAAGAATTTTTTTTATGAACTGACAAATAAAGTTAAAACTCAAGATGAATTATTTTTCTTTATTAGGTAGGTAGCCAAACCTATTTCTCAATAGGAACCATTCAAATATTGATTGAGTCTAATAAAACTTACACGTGAAAAAGGGTGTATGGTAGGTGCAAAACTATGTGGACTGCCGCATATAATGCCCAGTTGAAACTTTGGCATAAATTTGGCAATCAAGAGTAGGTCAAAAGAGCCCTCTAAGTTTGTACTATTTTCCCTAGATTTTACTTTGGATTTTCTTTTGTTTTGATTTTGATAGAAAAGCTAGGCCTATGCCTATCCATGTTGGACCATGTATTGGTTCAACCTAGCACCAACACATAGTTTGTTATGGTGTCAACGAATACTTGTTTACGTGTATTCGACATAATTGTTAATTTTATGTCGAATTTTACATGCATCAATAACTGACAGTCGCTATAATATTGGCAAGTAAAGTTAACTAGTCATCTCTCCTCCCTCAAGGGTTTTAGCCTTTTGAGGCAATTTGTTAACAAAGGTTAGGAATTGTAGGGTTATGATAATCATATGATGGACCCCAGAACACAAGGCAACTTTTGGAAAAGTGCCCTAGTTGTTGTTGTCATTGCCCAATGCCAATAGTTTCCACCCTCCTAGAATCTTTTCTTAATTTGAGCAATCTTGGCATTTGGAATTTGACCTTTGCCATCGGCCATTTCCAAAACCTTGAGCTAGGTGCTTTTGTTTTGAGATTGGCGAGGCTCTTTGTGAATAACAACAGGATGTAGGCTTTGTTTTATGGCATGCCTTGTTTTATCTAGAGAAAATTCCAATTGGATTAGAAGTTTCACATTTTATAATGTTCGTAATACATTAAAGTCAACTGAAACCAGTTTGCACCCAAAATTCAATGCCAAATTTGTGGAATGCTGAAAATGGGTTGGATAATCAAAGCTTAGGTAGCCGTTTGTTTTGGGCTAACTCCAACGCATTTACGTTGCTCAATGCAGTTTTTTTTGTCTTCGTTGTGAACCAATTTCCAAACAAGTAAGCCAAATGGGGTTGGGCCCAAAAATTTGATTGTGAACACTACAGTTGCATAAATACAGGTACCATCCGAGCACGCATGAGAAATTCATGACCACTCTTCCACATCTCATCACCCATTAGAAGTCGTTCACGCTTATTACTACTGACCTTAGCAACACCCAATTAAAAGAAGGACACCAAAGCCTAAGATACACTAACATTAAGCATTATTTGCGACACATCATGAGTAGGGGCGGGAACGGTCCAGATTACAATGTTTGGTTTGATTTTGACAAAAATTATGAAAGAAATCGAATCAAACTAAACCAATTTACAATGTTTGGTTTTCCTTTTGCATTTTTTCAATTTTTTATAGCTCAATTACAAAAAAAAATAAAATCATAATATGATACATATTGTTTCATTTTATAGGCGTATCAAACCATCATAAAACTCAGCATGCTATAGAACTCCGAATTTTAATAACTAATATAGTTACAATTCAAATATCAATAACTTCAAATGAGAGGATTAAACGTGTAAAATAAAATAATAAATAAATAAATATACAAGTAGACAGTCTGATTTGATTTAAGTCGGTTTGCAAAAGCTTAGAATTTTAAATCAAACAATTACAGTTCAGTTAGAATTTTAAACCAATTATAATTTTTCTTGATCAAAACCAAACCAACCATTATAATTCGAATTGGTGGGATTATGTGATTCGGCCGGAATGTCCACCCCAAGAGTATGAGTAGGATCAAATTTGGTGACCAAACTCAGCATCATTTACGGACCAAGAAAAAAAAAAAACAAACTCAGCATCATTTGGGCCAATAAAACAAGATTGACCTGCGGAGCCTACCCAATTATTATATTATCTATATAAAAGATAGAACAGATATACACTTGAGCTTGGTTGAAGCCAGCTCTTCTACCCAATCTTACCCCACACGCACTTCTTTTGTCACATCTACCACCCTTTTCCCAAAACAATACCCACAAATTATCCCTAACGTGCGCGCCCTTCCACTTCCTTCAACACGTAAAAAACTCTCGTGACCAAATTACCCTTCCTTAAAACGAAAAAGTTACGTTTGGACATCGTGCCGCGTCCGGCGTCAATTATTGCATCTGAGGGGGCTATTCGCGTAATTTCACGTGTCGCGGTTCTTTCTTTATTCGCGCACATTCTCTGTAGTGGTCTTTCTCTGTAGCGACCTCCCTCAGTCGCCAGAGGCCCAAATCTATATTCTCCATATTCGATTCTTCTGCGAAACCCTGATTTCTCCTTCAATCAAATTAAGCTTCATAATTCTCAAAAATTTCAGTTCAATTCATCTGATTTCTAACGAGTTTTAGTTTCTCCAGAGTTAATTTGCTAGTGCTGGTTTACTGTCGTTCTTCTGAGCTTTCAATCTCGACCGTTCGATTCTATGGCGGCGGGGGCAATGGCGACCGCCGCCGGAGCCGCCGTACTTATCTACTACGTGTTTAATCGGAGGTTGTCGTCGCAAGTTGAAACCGACGACGACGACAGCGATCGGAGTGGAAATCTCTCGAAGATGAGGTCGGCGAGGAAGAGGCTCTCTCGGCGACCGGCACAAGCGCCCGCCACGTGGCTCGAGTCGCTGAACACCTTGTCCGATACGCTCCGCTTCACTTACTCTGAAACACTCGCCAAGTGGCCGATCGGCGATTTGGCCTTCGGCATTAACTACCTCATGCGTAGGCAGGTGAGTAATTCGCTCAAATTCGGGGTCTCTTTCTGCAAATTTCACTTCTTTGGGGGCAATGCTTCCGAAAGTTTCGTTATTTACATGTCAGGTTCCTGGTTTTGGTTAACTTGCAGGGTAATTTACAAGTTGCGAGTGTATATGCTGGTAGTGATAGTGTGCAGCTCAAAGGGTCTGGAATTATTGAGGAGTTGCATTATTACTTGAAGTTGTTGACGCTTTGTATGCTTTTTTCAAAGAAACCGTTTCCGGTGTTTTTAGAGTCCGGGGGTTTCTCTCAGGAAGATGTACTTCTTCAGAAGCCCAAGGCCGGGGTTCGTAAGCTCTTACCTTTACACTCTGTAACTACATTTGTTCATGTTTTTATTAGAAATTGCCTTTCTCAGTTCTCAGCTTGATGTGGAGGGATAACATTCCTTTATTGAGTCTGAACTAAATAATGACAAGGAACTCTTTAAGTATACGTATTTGTAGTGTAGGTAATGATACATAAAAGCAAATCCGTGGATTCTAGAAATCTAAAAATCGTATACTAAAAAAATCCTTGGATCCAAACAAGAGCTGCCTACATGCCCAAAATCCATAATACTTGTTCCTTCAACATTGTCTCATCACAACCAAAGTTTTCTACTTCGTAAGGAAACTAAAAGGAAACACCTTCTTTTGGGGTTTTATCCCCCCTATCTCATAAAAAAAAATGGAAACACCTTCAAGAATCAAAATTTATGTGGAAATGAGAGATGGAAATCTATGTTAATAGAGTGATGCTGTTAAAAGCTCAGGAAAGGTGAACATTTATGTTAATGGACAATTTATGAGAAGTGAAATATGTGCTACAATTTATTTCTATTGACCACTGTGTTTTGAGTTACTTGATAGTCATGTTGGCATATAATCTTCTTCACAACTCTACGCTTTTGTGATAAAGCATCCTTTAGTTTCATTATTTGCTTTAAAACTTGTGATTGATTCGTCTCTTAATTAGCACCACTATGCTTGCAGCTTCTGAAGCCCGCCTTCACAGTTATTCGCGATAAAAACTCAAAATGCTTGCTTCTATTAATACGTGGTACACATAGCATCAAAGATACACTAACTGCTGCTACTGGAGCAGTGGCCCCATTCCACCATTCGGTTTTGCATGATGGTGGAATAAGCAACTTAGTCCTAGGATATGCCCACTGTGGGATGGTTGCTGCAGCCCGTTGGATTTCTATGATCAGTACTCCTTGCTTGCTCAAGGCTCTCGATGAATATCCTGACTACAAAATAAAGGTAGATGCCATTTCTGTAATTTAAAAAATGCATGCCACTTTGTCTACTAATTTGCCATTTCAAAATTGATCAAAAACTGTGTCGCTTTTCCTGCTTATACATGTTTTAAAACTACTAATTTACCATCAAAATTGATGTTGATTAGTTTTAGTTTTAAAATTAATAAAATGTACAGAATTTCATAATACTAGGATGATTTATCTGTGCTATTATTCTTTCTAATGTTGAAATCTGCATATCAGGTTATTGGGCATTCACTGGGTGGTGGTACAGCTGCATTGTTAACATATATTCTTCGAGAGCGGAAAGAGTTCTCTTCAAGCACTTGTGTTACATTTGCCCCAGGCACGTCATCTGAATTTCTCTTTGTTAGTGGTTCTAGCATTCCATATCATTTGTTCATGGAAATGCGCTAATAAATTACATAGATATAAGGTGTCAAATATGACTTGTTACTTCTGAACTGATTGGGCCATTCTATGCTTGAAGGTCATTCTGAGGTCTTTCTTATGGCTGCTGTAGTAGAAAATGCTCAAGTGCTTGTACTTTAATTTTTGTTTTGCAGCTGCCTGTATAACGTGGGAGTTGGCAGAATCTGGGAAGCACTTCATCACTACTATCATCAATGGCTCTGACCTGGTGCCTACTTTCTCAGCAGCTTCTGTTGATGATCTCCGGTGTGAGGTACTGTATTTTCTCCACATTGAAATGGATGTATATAGCATTTATTCTTGCTACTCATGAACAATGTAGTTCAATTCTCATCTGTTAGACATTTTCAGAATTCTTATTAGAATATGCCATCATCAGGTCACAGCTTCATCTTGGTTAAATGATTTGCGGGATCAGGTTGAACGTACAAGAGTTTTGAATGTTGTTTATCGCTCTGCCTCTGCTCTGGGTTCTCGTCTACCATCTATAGCTAGTGCAAAAGCGAGGGTTGCTGGTGCTGGTGCACTATTGCGGCCAGTATCTAGCAGCACGCAGGTAAATCTAATTTTTCTTTTATTTGATGACTGACTGTTAATCAGGTCCACTCTTGCTGACTTGTGGTCTCGTGAGAAATCGAATTCACTGGTTTCTTTATGGTGTAGTAATTTGTACAATGTCTTTGTGTAGAACTGTTAGTGAATTGGTGCTAATATTAACTCATTTGGTTGAACTACACTATACTGGTCTATTTGTTTAGTAATTAGACTGTTATGGAAACATCATCAAGTATATTAGCATCAAGCATCATTTGTGTGTGTATGGCTCCTACTTTATGTGTGTTATGACAGGCTTTGCTTCTGCTCGGTAACTTGTAGGTTGTGATGAAGCGTGCACAGAATGTTGTTGTCAGAACTCATTCATCTATATCATCATGGTCTTGCATGGGTGCACGTCGCCGGAATGTGGGTCCATTATTGAATTCTAAAGCAGATGATTTGCCTGAAGCTTCTGTCATATGTGAAAAGGATTCTGAATCTCAGACTGAAAGAGTGACCATAGATCCAATGCAGAATAACTTGGAATCTAGTTTTAGTGGCGGATCCGGTCATGATGATACCGATGAAGAGGAGCAGCTTTTGCCAGTGAATGAAAATACTACTACATCTACTGTTGGAGACATCACTGAAGGTGAGTTGTGGTATGAACTGGAGAAGGAGCTTACGAGGCAGGAGAATGACGTCAATGTCGAGGCCCAGGAGGAAGAAGCTGCTGCAGTGAGAGAAATAACCGATGAAGAAAACATGCTGGTTGATGTTGCAGAAAGCAATACGGCCATCTCTTCGTTAGATGTTTCAGAGAGCCACCGGTTCTATCCCCCTGGCAGAATCATGCACATTATTTCTGCCCCTTCGTCTGATTCTACTAATTTAGATCATGATGGACCTATTGAAGAACATGTGGGTATATATGAGACACCTAGAGAACTGTATAGTAAGCTTCGACTTTCTAGGACGATGATTAATGATCACTACATGCCTATGTATAAGAAAATGATGGAATTGTTGATCAGGGAACTGGAAAATGATGAATCCAGTAGTTGTATCATGTGAAAAAAAATTAAATTAATAGAAAATATATTTATGTTGCATTGACTATCAGTAGTCGACTTTTGCTTCTCTTCCCTTAGCTTTTTTCAGAAGACAAAAGCACTATGGAAATAAGCCATTTTCAGTTGAGTACAAGCTTCCGCATGCTTGGCTTAAAGCCCACTTGGAATCTTGTTGGGTACGAAAAGAAACAGCAACCACAATTTTCGCAAGTTGAACATCTGGCTTGAGCTTTATAAAACCCATCCCCACCATTATCTTTCCCTTGTGTTGGAGGATAAGATCACAATCAGTATGAAATCCCCTACGGCTCAAACAATACCATTTTTTAAAAGACTTCTCATGAAAAAGTAACCAGAAAATGACATATATTTGAGGCTCACAATCATGCAAGTCGTTTGACCTGTGATTTTGACATACTTGGTCCCTCAAAACAAGTGGCTCACTCAGAGTCATAGCCTTGTGTTTGGTTTGGTGTATGATCTCATTGGACCAACTAATGACTTTTTTAATCCCTTCCCTTTTCTTCATTGGGTGGAGCATTTCGTTCCACACCTAATCTTCTTTTGATTAACAAACTTTCGCAATCACAACTTTGTAATAAACACCCTCTTAAATACTCTCCAAGATATGCTAATCTAATCACAATCTAATCTCCCCCTCACTCATGATTAAATCTTATTAATTACGCCGAACGAGTGTTTTTCCATTTGTTTAGTGTTTAAGACCGACTTTAAGTTGAATATTCTGATTAGCAATGATAAATCCAATTAGTGCTTCCAAATCCACATAGCACACGTATACCATTTGATGATATCTTAAACTAAAAGCATGGCCAAAGTGGGCACGGCACACACACACACACACATATATATATATATATATATGAATACGTTGATGTAACTCTCTCACAAGATGAGAATGTCCAAAAGGGCCATGACGCCTACATCACAGGGTGGCCAAGATAAAGGCATATGATAGTAAGTTCACACTCAAAGCATACTTTATGCGTAGCCATACTTGAGCTTGCAAACAGAAGGAGGAGAAGGAGATGAAAATGGAGTATAAGCAATACCAAACGTTTGTTTGATTGTTTCGTCCCGAATCAGAGCCGGACTGAAATCACACAAGGTTTTGCTTACTGGTTCTCTCTCTAGCTCTTTGATATTATAAGGAAAAGAGAAATATACATATATGTATAGATATATCAAAGGCTTGGCTTAGGTAGCTGATATAAGTTACACCAATTGAATAGATACTTATCTTTTGAAGTGTGTAATGATTTTGGGAGTGTAGAGGGGCTATGGTGCTCTTTCCATCTCTTCTTGAAGGGCTGGCAAGAACCAGATCGCTCAAGAAAATGAAGAATTGTCTTGAAGATGTTGCAAGGAAAACTGCAGAAGCATTGGAAAAGGAAGCGAAAAAGAATGAGCTGGTTTTGAGTTCTTCTTCTGGCATTGTTATGTCTGATAAGTCTAACAATTTTTCCTCTGTTTGCTCCAAGAGAGGACAGAAAGGGATCAATCAAGATTGCTTAATCATTTGGGAGGTAAGTACAGTTTGAGAATGTTTTGCTATTTGTTGCAAATATATGCTTGTTTCAAAACATATATGCTATATATTTTCCATATTTGAGATAAGCTGGGTTTGGTTGGTAGGAATTTGGATGCCAAGAGGACATGATCTTTTGTGGGATATTTGATGGGCATGGCCAATGGGGCCACCATGTTAGCAAAAGGGTCAAGGAATCAATGCCTGTTTCTTTGTTGTGCAATTGGCAAGAGACTCTCACTTTAGCATCACTGAACCTCGACTTCCAAATGGAGATGGAGATGGATAGAAACCTCCATTGGTTTGATATATGGAAGCAATCCTTTCTTAAAACGTATGCTGCCATTGACCAGGAGCTTAAGCATTCTTCTAAAATTGATTCTTATCGAAGTGGCGCTACAGCATCGACCATTGTTAAGCAGGTAATCAGAAGAAATTGCCATATATTTTGAGTAGCATAGTTTACTTACTTTCCTTCCTTGTGTGGCAAGTAATATGCTACCAGAAAACCTTTTTTCTGCTGATTATGTTGATCCAATGGGTGCCAATCAAACCCTAGACCTGCTAACCTTTTTTATTTTCGGTCTGTAATTATTTTTCTTTGCTTTTCTGTTGTTCAATTTACCGCAAGCTGTGCATCTAGAGGATAATAAGAACATGCACATAGTTGATATCTAAAGCATATTGCATTTTCATGACAAGTACCCTTAAAATCTCCCCATCAATGATCTCCAGGGTGAACATCTCATCATCGCAAATGTCGGTGACTCCCGGGCTGTCTTGGCCTCCATTTCAGAAGATGGGAGTTTGGTACCCCTTCAGCTTACGGTGGACTTTAAACCCAACATACCTCGTTGGTTCTCTCACTCTGTCTGTGTCTCCTTGATATACAAATGTGTACCTTGTACTTAAATATTTTGGGGGTTCTTTCGGGAATCTTTCGTGTTACAGAGGAGGCAGAGCGGATAACAAGATCCAATGGACGAGTATTTTGCTTACATGATGAACCAGGGACTTACAGGGTCTGGATGCCAAATGGTAAGACGCCAGGACTGGCAATATCAAGAGCCTTTGGCGACTATTGTGTTAAGGACTTTGGGCTTATCTCAGTGCCTGCTGTCAGTCAAAGGCACATCACCAACAGAGACCAGTTTGTCATTCTAGCAACAGACGGGGTAAGCACACATTTCATTTTATTTGCCAACTTTGTTCCAAATTGTATCAAGAAAAATTGCAAATGTGCACAGAAATCAACTCCATTGAACAAATCTTCAAGGACTTTGCATTTCTTCATCAGGTATGGGATGTTATCTCCAACGAAGAAGCTGTACATATAGTTTCCTCCACTACAGATAGGAAAAAAGCAGCTAAAAGGCTTGTGGGATGTGCCGCTCTTGCATGGAAGTCTAAGAAACGAGGCATCGCCATGGATGACATCTCAGCTATTTGCCTCTTCTTTCACGCTTCATCCTCATCTGCCAACCTTATGATCTCACAAAATTCTTGTGTAAAAAAATCTGGGTAGATGCCGATTATTGTTGCCTTAGTTTGCTATGGGCGATGTGTATATATAAATGTATGCCCTCGGAACAATAAAGCCCAACATGATTCTATCTAACCAATTCTTAGATCAAATATCGAAAGAAGCATACATTAAAGCATCACGCCCCAAAACAATCAAGGTATAATAAGGGATTAATGATATTTTAGTCCCAGCAAGTTTAGGATCTCTGGTCACGTTACAACGACGCGTGCCTCAAGAATCATGAAAATACAACACCAATCATCATAACATTATACTATCAGGTATTCTCGAAACATGTTAAACCCTTTATATGTAGCTATAGTTAAGATAGGTTGAATAAAGTTTTATTGATAGCGAAAATTTAAAACAAACATTTTCAAAATAAATATTTACATTATACCAACCCTGAGTTTTATGTAAATGTCGTTTACATAAAAACGACATAATTTTCAATAAACGACATGATTTTCCATGTTCCGATGGCACCCTGAAAAATAGAAGTCTGTCCTGCCTCTGCGCGCGTCTTCTTCCTCATGACAACCACTGCTCTCCGTCTCTCGTTCCATCCATCTCCTCACTCACTCGCGCGCGGCGCGCGCCCTCGACGCCAACCTCTCTCCAACTCCCACCTCATCTTCCCAACCCCGACCCCAACCCTACACAGCTCAACGCTCATTCCATTCCACCGGTCCCATCGCCGGCGACAGACTCCGATCACTATGTCAGACTCCCGCCAATCAAGCTCTCCAGAGGCCCAGCCGCCACCGAAGGAACTCAACGACGAGTCGGATTTCGAAACCATTCTCTCATCCGACGGTTACATCTCTATCTCTGGCTTCGGTTCCCTCCTCTCCGGTACGTACAAATTCAATCACCTACACCATCACCGTCGCCGTTTTGATGTGCTTGTTGTTGTACGCTGACTTGTTAACTGGTGCGGTGTGTTTGGGAGGCAGAGAGAAGCGCGAGGAGTACATTTCCGGACCTGATCAACTTCAGAGTTGCGCGGTTGAACGGCTTTCGTCGAGTGTATGCTCACATGGCTCCCATTTTCTTCGAGCGCGGCATTGCCAAGCCTGAAACCAAGGTCAATCAAAGAAACTGAAAGAAAAATTTATGAAATGTTTGTGCATTTGTTGTTCGCATATTCTTCAACGATTCGAAAGTATCAATTTTTGTGTTTGGTTCGTTTACAAGTTTGGGAAAACAATTTGTTATGTAAATTCTAAAATCTGAATTTTGTTGTTAATTTTATGAATGGGGCAGGAGATTGCAAGCTTGAGTGTAGAGCCTTGTGAAGGTGAAAGCCTTATAGTAACAGTGTTTGAGATTACAAAATCAGAGGTATAAAGTTAGTGTTATGTGTGTTTCAGTGCCTGTTAAATATTGAATCTTTGAGGACTAGGTAGAAGGAAACTAGTTGATTCGATGAGAGCTAATTTGCAACTCATATGCTGATTTAACAACTTCAGATTCCAGCTTTTATCAAGAGGGAGCCTGAATTTCGATTCCTAGCTGTAAGTTGCTAGATTGTTGCCTACCATCAAGTTCGTAATTTTTTATTTAAAAAAAACGATTTGTATTTTCATTTGGAATTATTTGTTTGTCTTGCAGGTTCTGCCTGAAACACTTGATGGGAAGCCATTTGATAATCGAGCGGTGAGTGGAAAATGTGAATATGTGATGCCAATAGCTTCACCTTATTAGGCTTTTTTCCCCTGCACTTTTTCAGTTTAGTTTAGTTAATAGTTATTGGGGTGAACGAATGCAGGTACTTTGTGCTCGTTATAGTGATGAAGAGTTCTTCAGAGTTAGATGCAAAGGTAAATCTTCTCTACTGTTTAATTTTAACAGTTTCCCAATTAAGATAGATAGTAAACAGAAATATAAGTGTAGTTAACTCGTAGTTTCTGATAGCAATGTTAGATACAAAGAAATGCCATTTATGATTGGTTTTATCCAAACGATTGTGCTACCCCATCCAATTCCATAATTTACCATTACATAATGATGGGGTATTGATGTTCATGTATGCTGCTGCTTTTTTCTTGCTGGATTTCAGGAAGTAAGGAGATGTATTTTCAGCTATTTGGACGATATGGCATTGATAAGATCTGGCGAGATGATATCCTACCTTGTCGCACTTACCTTCGGCATTGGTAAGTCCTCACTTTTGGTGTACTTATTTGCTTTATTTGCTACCAAAAAGATATGAATGATCCCCAACCAGCAGTGAGCTTACCAACTAGCAGTGAGCTTGAAAGAAATGAATGATCCTGGTCTGTCAGGCCAAAAGAACAAGCTCTTGAATTGTGACCCACATCTTATCAGTAGAAGAAATTAACTCATAGACCAACTTAATTGCACTTAAATGTATTAGAGGACTAATGATGAATCTGATTAGTCAATATATGTTTGCTTTGGCTTTTCTCCTTCGTCTCATCATTTGAGTTTGATCATAGACCACAGGTCTAATCTTGCATGGGTAGGTTAATGGCTTTGCCAGTGCTTCTTTAAACAAGCTGCTTTGTCCTTTTCAGGTTTGTTTTTCTTTTTTTGTTCTAAGATGAGAGAACAAAACAAACTTATTTGACATGTTAGAACCTTATTATTGAGTATCAATGAGTATGCTGTCTAGCAGACGTGGTATTAAACTAAAACTAGGACAGCATAGTCCTAATACTAGTAATCATTTTCTGAATTTACAGTGATTACGAGTTCCTTCTATCAGTAATAGGTCAGATAAGGATGGCTAACTATGCTAGTATATGAGTTTTGTCCCTGCTCTCTCAAATATACGTTCTATATAGCAGCTAAACCCTATTCAATAGCCAGGGCATATTGTTTTGTTGAGAGTAGAAGACGCACTTGTTCTTTAGTTGACAATGTCCTCTTCTGCTGTACGTAAGTTATTGTTATGTTTTGTTCTGTACAAGCTGTAATCCTATGTGATGTTGATTTGCTGCTAGAGATTTCTTCTTACATGACACACTTCCATTCCAACTACTACTCATATGAATTATGAACTAAAGTGGATGATCAAACATCCATTTGTAGTGTCTTAGCAGCAAAGAATCTGAGCGAGGTAGCATACAACAACTTCTTGGATCACACTTTCCTTGGAGACCGTAAAACAACCATCCGCGAGTACCTTGCTACAACAGGTTCAGGCATCATGGAAGAAGAGCCTCCAGAGTCCCTCAAGACCCGGTATGGTGGTTAAGGCCATATGTTTAGAAAGCCTTGTTACATTGATTTGTCAAAAGCAGTAATTTGTATTTCAAAGATGCAGAAGGGATTTAATGATATTGAGTTCACCTCGTGTGTTCCTATAGTTGTGTTGTATTCTATAAAATTTATCTCACTGCCCCTCCTATTATTTTTCCTCATTATTTGTGAACAAAATCAATATGCCGAGGCAATCATAAATTGAACAAACCATATATCAAGGCAACTATGGCTTGAGACGAGGCAACAAAAGATTGCGGCAACCATGAATCAATGTATCAAAGTAGTCAAGGCAAACCATACATGAATTAAAATATAAAAAAATAGAAACAGTAGTAATTTCCTCACATACATTATACATACAGCTCTCGTGCTGTTACGTACATATCTACTTTTCCTCATTTGCCAAGGGACCGAACAAAAATTCGTACTTACTAAATAATTATGTGTGTTTTGGACAGTCGCAACCCTTAACACTTATGGTTTCGAAGTATTTTGGGCGCAATAGGCTGCAAGGGATTTATAAATTTGTGTACAATTTGTCCCACATCGACGTTTTAGTTGGTGAAAGTGTATGGCGCTGCCTATAAGTACAGAGAAGCGGGAGCCATGTAAGTTAACCTGTCCTGTCAGGGGTGGAGGATGACTCGTCAATGATCGTATAGAGACGGCGGGTCGTGCCAACACCTATTATTTCGAACACACTTTTCGTACGTGCTAGTTCCACCCTACTTCGGTGGACGTGCACGTCAATTTTTGAAAGCCTCGCCTCCCACGGTGGGGCTCCAATACTCTCTTGTTCCTGAAACTTTTCATAATCATTTCTTTCAATTTCATTTGCATTTTTGAATACCCCAGATAAAATTAAATCTCAAAATGATATCAACCCAAGGACAATTTTGAATGATTGGATGTAAGCAACAAGTGGAATGAGGGAGAAAATGTTGAAGAAATACTGATTAGTTTGCTTGATTTGAAATTAATGGCAGGTTTACTTGCAATATCCGTAATCAAATATCCCCTCAAACCTAGGCGGTCTAGGCGGTCGTGAGAGAGAGAGAGAGAGAGAGGGGGGGGGAGACAATCCTTAGAGTTCAAAAACTTAAAACCCTCCCCTATTTTCATAGTAGAAATTTTACTACGAAAAAACTAGTGTCTTCTCTTTAGATGGGACAATCCTTGCCTGTAAAGCTTGTGGTTATCTAAATTAATCAACTACTAAGAATAATCACCATTCCTTTTATATAAAAAAACTAACACATGGGTTAAAATTCGTAATCAAATATCCTCGAAACAAAAAATCAGATAAAGTAAACATGTCGTAAGAAAGATAATTTCTCAAAGTGCAGCCTTGTCCAACTGAGAAATTCTAAGCAAGTGTCATAACCAATGACAATAATCAATTAATTTTATTCAACTCTTGTTTCTAACTACATTGTTCAAACAGTTGTAATGTAGAGCTTGCGCCCTCTCCTCTCTTTCTCTATAACTTTAATCTACAAATTCATTGGACTTATATTTTCCTTTCATAAAAATATGTGCAAAAACTAAAATCCGAAATTGATGGCCACCAAAGATGAGCTTGAATGAGTTACTTCAAAATCGTGTTCAATGAAATACTTGAGGAGATGCATAATACTCGCTCTCATTGAACACAGGTCTTAAGTCTTCTTTTAACATGAAATCCAAGGGGAACGATACAAGATGACCCTTCACAGATCCTAACCTCTCCATGGGATCTGCTTTCTTCATATCTCCATTCTGATACGATTCCATCTTCTCAGGAGCGATTCCTAAGTCAATTGTCGTGTGCCCGATTTTATCCTTCCAGTAGGCTATGTTTTGTCTGAATGCGGCTCTGCGCGAGGTCAACCATGCCAAGATGAGGCAAACAACTTGTTAGCACAGTAAGAACACAGAAGGATTAGCTGAAGACTAGAAATGCATATACCTGGAATGAATAAAATCATTTGGTATGCAAGAAAAGACATCTTGGTAGATTGTGGTATTTGTCTGTCCACCCAAAAAACAATATATGTTACTATTTACTTGCAGATAAAAAGCACAATATATATTCAGCAAAATCTACGCTTTCACTTGACATCCTTCGACAAATATAAATCTGCTCATTAAGATATTTTTCTCCTAGTTTTTCTCACCTTTGCAGTTGCCATCCAGATATCCTTGTAAGTTGAATCAACAACTGGGTCGATTATTTGATTCATCTGAGAACAAAATAAAATATGTACAAAGACAATTAGCTAAGTGACTACAGCTGTTTAATGTATGACTAATTCATAAAATGCCCGGATTAAAAATCAACAATAAAGAAAACCGAAACAGCACAACTAGATTTACTAACCTCTCCAGCTCGAATACCAAGGTGTTCAGACCACAGTGACAAGCGAAGACTTAACGAAAACTTTCCAGCCTTCCATGGCTTTCCTCCCATATGCGAATTAATCATCTCTTTATCTTCAATAAGTAAACCAATCTAAAATACAGAATAATGTCAGTTAATGGAAGCTACCATGTAACCACGCATGTAGAACAGGAGCACAACAAAAGTGATTTTTACGCACGAGCCACACCATACTGAAATCATACATATATGAGATAGTAAAATGCAAGTTTCGACCAAAAAAGGAGGAGAAAAGTAAGGAAGTTACTTTAACAGCAAAATTGATCGAAGTTACAAGGATAACTCAACTACTATCACAAGGTTCATAATCCAACACACACATAGCCTAGGAAGTTTGAGCAATAACATCATAATTACAAGGAGTTCATGTGCCTCCAATTGGTAATATGGGAACTATTCACTGATCTACACATCTCATTGGCTATTTCATGGTTTGGCAAGTTATCTAATTTTTCAATGCAAAGCATAGGGCATTATTTATACTCCTATCTCCCTTTCAAATATGAATATATATATATATACACCTTAACACACTGGCTGGAAAAAAACAAAAGAACACTCATTTGACCAAAATGGTAATAAATCTAGAAACAGATACAAGAAATTTAAATTATCAACAAAACTTAGATTCTACATTTCCAATTATTTGCCTATATGCTCAGTTCACATTCTGTTGCATTTTATTCAGTATAAATGCATTATCAAGTCATTCAATGCACTCCGGCCTTTCATAACCTCAATACGATATAAAGCAGATATGCTCTCCAACTTTAAGGTTTGGAAACACCCCCAAATGAAAATTAAGATAAAGCAGGAGAAACCAGAGCAGGAGAGATACCTCAGAATCTCTTGAGCCAAGCAAACTCCTATCATTGATGTTAGCTGATCCAATTAAAGTTGTACAATCATCGATAATCATGATTTTACTATGCACATAGACCTGCAGCGCCAAAAAAATATAAATGATGAGATCAAAGCTACAATCTTGACAAATATATGAACAATATCTTAGATTGGAAAGAGATGCATGTAGGCAGACATAAGGTACACTGGTGCTAGGGAAATACCTGACTGCAGGCCACAGGACCGCCATCAAAGAGTTTACCATAAGATCTAAGGCCATAAAAAGAAATGTAATCATGTGTCTTTGGACCAAGAATTTCATTAAGATTTTGCAATATTGAAAATTGTCCTCTGCAAATAGTTCGATATTGCCAATGCATAACAGCTCTGACAGATGCTGCACCAGCATCATCCAGACCCCCCTGTTAAACTACAAAATCAGCACAAGGAATGCATGGACAAATATAGTATTTTTTTTTGTCGGAACATGGACAATTTCCAAATGTGATAGATTTTGACAAGAACTGGAACCTGGAAGCCGGGTATAAGTGGTATGACAATTATAACTCTAAAACACTTTTTATCATTGTATGCTCGCATAATACGTCGAAATAATGCTTCTAGCACACGATTCCGTATTATTTCATCTCCTGAAAGACCTGATATGAAGAATTGATTCTGGGAAGAAGTTGCCAAAAATTAAGAATAAGTCAGGAAAATAATCAACAGTAAAGGTCCCTTGACAAATAATAAAAAGAAGTCAGATCATCAGCAAACCAGAAAGATCAGAAATATGAACATCATTTTGTTCACGGTTACATAATTTTTTTTTACTAATATGTTCAAGTAATTGACACCTACTGTCACTATTGAGATGGCAATCAATATAAAGTTTCCGTGGCAGCTGTTTGGCTCATAAACATTGATAATGCCACATTGTTTCAAGTTCCATCCTTAATAAAAGGCTGTAATGAATATAACATGCATTAGAACAGCCATCATGGACTGTTTCCCTTTAGAGTCGGAAAAATAAAGAGAACTGTAGCGTAAATGATGACAAATTGACAAGAAATTGTGTATATAACTACTTGCAAATTCATATTAAGCAGCATTAATGCTTCTCATATTGTGAACACAGTTCCAAAATGCTCTTTATTTTGAGCACATGTTTCCTGGCACATAAGTGTAACCGTAAGTTTAAGCACAAGATATGCTTATATAAAAACATTGAAATACATTAGGTATGAGAAACCTATTTTGTACCTCAATGTAAATAAAGTGCTCTGCTTTATCGATAAGAGAGCAATAAGCATTGTGAATGCTCTCTTCAACTTGGCTTGTTCCTGCTGACCACTGACTGACACTTCTAATAACCTGGAAGTGAAATGTTATTAGCAAAATACAGGATGCAAGGTCCACTATCACAACCAAACAGAAAGTAAACAGATAAACATTTACTACACATTAAATGTCATACCCCCTGACATTTCTGAATATCACCTCCTCAGAGGTTTATAGAGTACACAGCCCCTTGAAAGTTAATTATATTGAAAATTCTAAAGACATTGTTCTAAGGAGTAGGTTCTTCAATAAGGATACTTCAACTGACACTTAAGGCGGAGAGATATCACTACATAATACCATATAAAAAAGCAGATGACATATCAGATACTAAAAGGCAAGTCAGAAATCAAATATTTGCAAAATACTTAATTTCAAAAGACAAAAGAGTTTTGGTCCACCTGACATCGACACGAACTACAAGGACCAACTTGTCCTGATTCATCTGTGAAACCACCCTTGTTGCCCCGCTCTTGTGTTTCCCACCACTCTGGATCCATGTTTTTCATGCCAGGCTGTGCCACCTCATCTGAACCCATTTTTCCATGTCGAGCCAAAGAATCAAGGTCATCTACAAAGCCTCTCATTGGTGTATCATGACCTACTGGTAGAATTTTTGACCTTCGGAAAGGGAAAGCAAGATTGTTGCTAACCCTGCTTGGCTGTTCAAGGAGATCAGGAGGAGAGTCCATCCCATTTAGGTTTGGGTCTTCCTTTGGAGAATCCAGCCCATCAGCTTCTTGGGGTATAAGAAGTGGGATATCTTGGCAGGATGATATTGACGAATAGGAATCCTGCCTTCTATGATGGTTAGCATTCTTACTTTCAATCTCCATCTCTTGGCTTCTTCCCATGTAATGAGGAATGACCATGTGGTGCTGCGGCATAAGTAGTGGAATTGCTTGTTCGTTTGGAGCTTTATTTCTCTGAAAGAAAGCATATTCACTTATAACACTATCTTCTTATTTATAAACCAAAATCATGTCATCTTGGCAGAATATCAACCTTTGCATAGTTCCAGCGCTGAACAAAATGTCTAGCCACATCACGGCAGGGGGGTCCCCAAAGGGCACAGTGAACGTCATGCCAAGGCATACGAGGATATTTTCCACGATCCAGCTCATCTTTCATTGTATCTTCCCATGAATTTGGTTCAGATTCCCTAACAAGATTGTTACAAAACCATATTTCACAACAATGAAATCATTTCAGAAAAGATCTTGAGCGAAGTAAAAATACAATTGGCAGCAGAAATAAGCATATCAATTCAAACCCATAAATAAATAATGCCACGTAAAAATAATAAAGATAAATTAATAGAGTACAGGAATCATGTTTGATCATTTTCTGCGGATAGTTGTCACTGGATAATCCGTGCGTAGTCAAGAAGCTCACCTCGGGTTGTAATAGTCCTTTCCAGGCCATACCAAAGGAGGGCAATCACCCACTTTATGCTCAGCAGTATCATAACGACCAAAGCATAAATCCAGTCCTCCAAGAAAGCAAATCTGATAATCAACAATGACAAGTTTTTCATGGTGGGACCTATATGTAACCAACATTTAATATCAGAAGCAGAAAAAAATACACGTAACACTTAATTAAGAAAACAAAATCCCCACATTACTTTGCAAGTACAGTGCATACCATAAGTAAACACCACTGGAAAAGTGGTCAGGGTAACGTAATACCCTCACATTCTCATGAATCCCAATAAGTTTCCTCTTGCTATAAACACTGTTTATTTTCAGAGCAAGAGCTACCTCCTTATAGAGAAGAATATAAATCTGCAGGAACATTGACCCAAGACATGTTTCAGTGTCAAAAAATTAGAAACAACAACAAATCTCATTTTAGTGAACTGTGTTTAAGTCAATGGTCATAAATGAAGAACAAGTCAAGAATTAAGGTTACAGATTGCATGAAAGTAAGGCTTACCTGAACCCCTTCCTTAGCTTTTGCTTCCAGTAAAGAATCAAGTTTAGAAGAAGCATGAGCATGAAAAGGGCGCCGCAGGTACAATTCTGGACACACCCACCAGCCACAAATAAATATCTGCATGGAACTTTCAATCATCACACAGAAGAAAATGTAACAGTAATAATTGTGAAATACAACTGTAATGTACCCAGTAAACTGAAAGGAACATACCTCTGATTTTGCATCCTCAATAGCAGAAGCAATTGCTTCAAATGCAGCCCGACCATCTATGAACCATTGAGCCTGACTACCATCTTCAGTCAAGCCTCTCGGAGGTGCAAAAGAGCCAAAACGGTGAGGATGACACCAGCCCTCAGGAGGCCTGAGTCCAGCATCATTGATGGAAGCAACCCAATCTTTAACTTTAGAACTACTCTTCACTCTCAAATTAATGCTCCGGTTACCACAAGCCACCTTTCAAAATTTCACATTATTCATCAGAAGATTGTATGGAGATTTAATTAGATGGATAGTGCCACCCACAAACTAAATACAACACAATAAGAGTGATGGAAAGGTCTTTTTGAAAACAAAGAAATTCGTCAGCCACCAGAAACTGGTGTATGTTCTTTATTATGAAGTAAATATAAGGTCAATATCTATCAGCACAGGGATAAGAAAGCAAACAGCAAAGACTTATATTCCAGAAGTCAAAGCTCTGCCTAGTGTAATATTCTAAGTTTTTAACCATAAAGCACACAGCTTCATCCTACTAGAGAATGCACACCCAAATAACATGAACCACAATATCTAAACCCCCCTACATTTAGGGGAAAAGCAATATGCAACCATATGATAGAATCATTTATTCTTCACTCAAAATCAAGAAAAAAATTACATGAACTGCAGTTATAATCTAGAAAGAAAGAAAAAAAATCTAGTGCACCACAGATAAACCAGGAAAATAGAAAAAGCCTCAGTGCTGCTAACCTTAAATGCATGGCGTAGGGGATTCCGCTCTTTTATTTCTTTCGCTAGTGATAGCCGGCCATCCCCATTCCCATCCGAGGCTGGTAGTACATCAAACACAATTATATCTAAAGGTTGGGTATCAAAAGGATCTGCCAGCAAGGCCAAGAATCCTGGTTTTAATACAGCCCAAACCTGCACAGAATCAGTTCGAGGGTAATGCCAAAGACAACAGGTGGTAAAACATACCTTAATTCAGAAATAGTTAAAAAGGATGAGAGGATTATGCATATGATACTCTAATCTTGTATACCAAATGTCCAAATATAGAATCTTCTGTCGGTGTCAGCCTACATTTGGTTTCCCACCAACAAATAACCTAGATTTCTTCAGGAATCAACTTCAGAATATCTAAGAACTCATGGATCTAACTTTCACAGGCAGATCACTGAGATGATTGACGAGTCCATAACTTTTTAACCAATATAATATAAAGCGAACTTATCAAAAGGAGGACTTCATTACCTTTTGCCAATTGTCATTACAACAATTGAACCAACGACATGCACAACATTTCCTGAAAGCTTCATCCCTTGGAATTTTTGGTAGATGCTTCACCATCACATAGTCTTCTTTTAGTTTAGGTCCATATTCTGGAGAAAATGATAACATAGAGACCTCCAAGAATTTGCACACCTACAATACATAATTATTGAGGGTAAGGCACATAAGGAATTATGATACAATAATCAATACAGGTGTGTAGAAAATAAATTGAAATTAGCAGATTGCAAAAAGTTAAAAGCGGTGAACTTTCAAAAGTCATCACTATAAGATGATTCGGGGATATGTCCTGGAACTCCAAAGGTTTAATGATTATTATGACAAAAAGACGATATATCTAATAAATAATGCCATTGACTATGGATAATTTCAATTCAAAATAGTTATTTAGATTGACACATATGATTGATCTTTAGAAAGAACAAGCACCAAGCACACCTCTCGAGAGTTCACAATGTCCATGTTTCCTAGAAAGTGGTTCAGATATCCTTGCATGGCAACCTTTGATCTATCTGACATAGATTGCTGCCTACCGAGCGCTGGCCGGATGATTGGCAGAGCAGCGCTAGATGGAACATCTCTGAGCAAAAGATGCAAATATAAGATTTATGACAACAATTCAACGAAAAAGGAAATACTTCATGGGACAAATTGTTCTTAAACACATGGCTTTATAAGTAGTAACCTGTTTTTAGCACTTTCTTCGTTATGCAGGGGAACAGTCTCATCATCGGCGTCCTCATCATCTTGTACCACTTCAGTGTGATCTCCGATTCCTAGATTTTGAAGCCATTCTTTAACCTTTAATATAATGTTGCAAACGATATTAAATCCCAAACATTCCCAAGTAAGCAGCTAACTGCCAAGGGGCATAGAAGAGTGAAAATACAAACTGGTATGCGCTTGTAAACTCAGATGCTAAATTCTAAAAGACAGACCTGTTCTTGCTTCTCTTGAATTTCCTCAAAAAATGCCCGTTTCTTCAATGCAAAATGCAAATAGAATACATGTGAAGGTTTCTTCAATAACCGCCACTTAAACTAGTTGAGTAAAAAAAACACACAATTAGTACATCATCATAATCATCATTATATGAAAAAGTAATAGCATTGCATAGTCATAATCACAAACAACATTGCCAACAAAAAAACATAAAAGTAAAAAGTTAGAACTTCTGAACTTTATAGAAAAGAGAAAATTCGAAAGGCCTGACCCAATTTGGAAATAATCAGCACTCAACATGTATACTATCTAACAATGCTCCTATCAATTTGGGAAAGAAAATAGAAATAAAATGAAAAACTTCTAGATAAGTTAAAAGTTACTTTCAATTTTTCTTTTAACATCCGGATATTGAACTTTGTTTCCTCTTATCCAAGTTTTCTCGGCATCCAAACACATAATTCAGATAGAAAACTGAAATTGAAGCAGCATGCAGGCGATCTCAGGCGAAGAGAAACAGAGAATGAGTGAAAAGCATGAAGAGAGAGATCGGTGCTCGCCTGCTTGTATTGGAATTCGATGGTGTAAGAGAGAAGCATGGGGCTGATATCACCGGCGTCAGGACGAGAGACGGAGACGATTGTGGCGCTCGGCAACTCTTCGAAAATTCGAGCCGGCTCGAACGACGACAGGCGGCACAGAAACGACGACGGCGACGTCGCCGTATCGGATCGCATTTGGACGTAGCGGGACCCACTCCCCGATATCAACTGCTCCGATTCCATTGCTCTTGGCTTTCGATCACTTCGAGAGATTGATCGAAAAATAAATAAATTTGATCCACTTTGTATAATTGTATTATTATTATTTGAAAAATTAAAAATGTAATATAAAAAATATCAGAGGAGAGAGAGTGGGAGACGGAATTGGCGAGTTTTTGACCGTTGGTTGGTTCACTGCACCACAGAGGAACAACGTGAAACGACTCAAAACCTGAAAGTGGAAACTTCGATTTCGCCCGTGGTTTGTAAGTTTAAAAGAGAAGGACGTGGGGGAGCTTTTTTTCTTAACTTTCTCGGTAGTCCGCGTTTCAAGAACCTGACGGATGAGAGCATGTTTTATAAACCTCCTTCCAAGTTCCAACTATATATGTCATGTCCCAAACAAATTGTGTTTGTGTCCTGATTAAATTCGACATTTTAATTAATGTCGGTAATGATTTGGGATTTATATCCATCTAACAGTCTTAAATTCAAAATACGTTAGTCAACTTCTTGGGGCTACTAGAGTGGTCTTGTGCTTGCTTAAAATTTGGTTGATGCGATCTAAAGCAACCTTCAATTTTGAAAAATGACAACCATAATTATTATGTCATATCCACGATTGAGCTCTTTTTGTCTTCAAAAGAATGACAACCATTAAAAAAAGAAGATAACACTGTTTTATTATTCCCGACTAATAATGCTATGTCACGTGGGAGTGTTATTACGCGTGTCATAACTTTATTAGCCATGATAGTAAAATAGTGATATTCCTTCTTGCTTTCTGAAGTGATATTTCTTCTTGCTTTATGAAAGTCTTCCGCAAGAAACAGTCGTGCTTTGTCTTCAAAAGATCACGTGCTAATAATTGAGAGGTACTTCAACTGGGTATTAATTGCTTAATTCGACTGTTGTTTCCTTTCTCAGCTAAGCGAGGAACTAACGTAGGCACGAAAAAGACCGGTCACTCTTGGTTGGGAAGAAGATTCTCAATCTAACGATTAACAGAACATAATATTCTGGAATGAGAGAGCACCATGCATTTTTACAGAGCTGCAAACGAAAAAGGCATTTCCATAAGCCTTTCCAAAAAGAAACAAAGATTTCGATTCCCTCGTGCCCAGAAGCTCCAAAATGGATTCTCACAACAAAGGGACCATCATATTAAAGCTCTACTTTCATCCATGCATGGGGTATGGGTATGTGTCTGGGTATGGTCTGATCTAGTTGTTATAAGCTCTAACATTTCAACATGCATTGACTGATATATTCACCAATGTCATAAACACATCATTCAACGTTTAAGAAAATGGTACTGCTGCAACTCACTAAGTTCAATGGTTTTAGATTGCAAAATTTGCCACAAAAAACAAAAAAGAACACATTAAAATAAATAACACAGAATATAACTTCTATATAGAATTAAACTTAAGAGCATTAATGTCTAGAGATCTTGTTCTTCAGTGCTCAAAGGAAAAGTCTATCAAAACTCACTTCTTTGCTTTCTTCGCGCCTCCCCTACAGAATCAAACAGGAAACTTTCATGAGCCTTTTGTCCAATAGTAAATGTACACAACAAAATTTCAAGTAAACTTACTCAGCCTGTTGGGGTGCAGGTGTTGGTGCAGCTCTTTCTCCAGGTCCCTGCAACATCCAGACAACACCACAAAATTAAAGGCCAAAAGCTATGTTACAACATGCATAACAAAAAAACTTGGAAATAACTAGCAGATAATATTCCTATCCATCTACTCTGTGTTATAATGTTCCAAAGCAAAACAACCAAACTCTGTTGAATTTATATTCTTTCTTTCCGCCTAATTAACATCCAAACATTAGAGACACGTAAGAAAAAACAGACATTTGAAGTGATTTTCTTAATATCTAAACTTACTTGTGCCAATCTTTCCTCACGCCGAGCAAACTTTCTCTCTCTGCTAGCCTTGTTTTTAGCACGTTTGGCTTCAAACTGGTCAGACAGAGTCTTTTCTCTTGCCTTCTCGGCCTTTGACTTGTGAATACTCTCCATCAGCACACGCTTGTTCTTAAAGACATTACCTTTCACCTTCATGTACATGTCATGGTACATGTGCTTGTCAATTTTCTTGGACTCACGGTACTTACGGAGTAAGCGCCTCAAAACTCGCATTCTCCTCATCCAGAGGATTTTGGTGGGCAGCCTTGCCTCCCTGGTACCCTTACGCTTACCTGGAAAAAAAATTAGTAAACACAATGAAATCTTTACAATGTCCTTAAAGTAGTAGGATTCACAAAAGAAACCCAAATGAACTAAGACGGTTCATGGATGGAACGATAACAGTAAAATGCCAAAAAGAAATGAAACAAGACTACACCATCATTTCAACATGAAACACATACCATGCCCAGAGTGACGACCCTTCCTCTTAGCCTCCTTCATTCTCCGAGCACGAGAACGCGAGTGGATCTTTGTTGGTTTCCTGATGATGAAACCATCCTTAACCAGTTTCCTAATGTTTTGCCCTGAAATTGGATATTATTATTTATGCATGAAAGTCAAAATAAAACCCGGGAGCAAGATAAACTAGTCTGAAATGGAGGGAAAAAACACAAAAAGATAAAGCACAGTTTGCATCGTATAAACTATCCAGTGATCTCATGACTCCCTTTACGATTCAACCCTTCCAACATAGAGAAAGTAAAATGCCGTGTTTTTGGAACATAAAAGCAAAATGTAACAAACATTATGGTGCCACTAAAATACATCTTGATAAACCCAAAGAAAAGAGAAAACAAGAGAAGTCCCAACCACATAAACCAGCTGAACAGTTTAAGCTAAAACTGACTGACAATATTAAGAATCTGAATTGAAAGCAGGCCAACTGCACACATACTGGTAAAGCAAATGACACGTAAGCGTATATCAAATTTGAAGCGACCATCTCTAAAAACGACAATGTACAGTATATACTTGAATCATTTGTGATGATTGATAGACAATTGGTCTTACTAATAACACATCTTATAGCAAAAATGACCATCAACATGAACTAAACGCCACGATTATGACAGAAATGCTCTCACAGAAATTCAATTAAACATAAAACCCAATCCAAATCTTATATTCCACACTGGTCCACATAATATTTCTAAAACTCCAACTGATTCAGATCCAAACCCAAAAGACAAAGAACTTGATTTGAAACGAACTGGATGAAACCCTGAAAATGACAGAGAGTTACGTACTGGAGTTGGCCATGGAGATTTCGTTGACCTCATTGGGGTCGAGCCAGACCTTCCCTCGGCCACACTTGAGGACGCTAGCGGAAAGCCGCTTCTGGAGCTTGAGCGACACCATTGCTGCTCTTCTTGAGCACCGCCTAGGGTTTTACGGGAAAGAGAAAACTTGGAGGCTCCTATTGTGGTCGGGGATGGGTATATAAGGTTAGGGTTTTTTTCGTGGCTGAATTAGTTTGTGAGTAGCTTACGACTAGACGAGTTGAGAAATGTGGACTAAGCTCGACGCATCACGAGGTTGCCTAAAGCCCAATATAATGAACCGGAATGGGTTCCCTGAAGCCCAAGATAGTGGCACCAATTCTCCAAGTCCTAGCCCACTTTTAGATTTTTGGATCCAACTACATAAAATCCCCGAACTTCGAGTGCCGTTTCAAATTCATACCCGAACTTGTAAGTCTCTACAAATTCGTATTCTCCGAAAAAGCGAAAAGGCTAGAATGAGGAGGTTGAGTGAGGAGGTTATTTGAGGAGGTGAAATCTCACCATCAACAAAAAAAAA